CGATGAGTTGAAATGCAAAAGGGCATTCATGGCGTCTTGAAGAAAAACATACGACTATGTTGAGAAACATGACTTGTCTTATAAGAGTAGTTGAGCGTCAGAGAGAGAAAGAGAGTGGTATTTGCTCACTGAGAGCAGAGGTGTTGGCGATTGAAGCAGAGAAGAAATTAACAGTAAAGTTCTCAAATAGTAAAGACCCAATTACATATAAATATATACTGTATATACAAGTAAGCATAGATACTGTGCAAGTCTGAGTCAAGAACTGAGAACACTTAAATATCTGTTTACTTATCACAACTAATATCGTTATTGTAATATCTAACGTTATTGCATATCAGCTCTTTTCCTCATATTGTGTAGCTCTAGAGGCCACTTAGAAATCTGAAGATATCTTAAAAGAGCCACATTTAATACATTCTCTTCTTACATCTCTGCTGTTCTTCTGTTAACCTGCTGTCAATGAAACTTTCTGCAAAAGTGTCTCACATAAAAGGACACTAAAAGCTTAAAACATCTGCAGGAAGTGTGAAGTTTTATTAATAGTAGCTTAACAGCGATTGCAAAAATGTCACAGTAAAGATTTTAATTAATTGCTGCTGTTGTACAGATGGATTTAGTAGGACGCAGTTTATTGTACTGTATTTATCACGTGAGACTTTAGAGTGCAGGTAATTTTCCCTTTTTTTTTTTCTACCAGTATTTAACTATTTGTCTCGGTCATGATTCTTATAATTATTATTTGAGAATGTACCACAGTTCATAGGAGAACATTGTGTAAACAGTGTCTTATTGTCCACGATGTGTCTGTCTAACAGTTTCTGTGTTCCTCTGCAGGGAGTCTTGTTTCGCAGTCGTACAAACAACACGACATCGGAGGGATGGACTGATAAATGCTGTGTACAATGGTGACAGAGCCGCCAACAGGCGAAAACAAAAAGGACACAAAGCCTGATGTCATACATACAGACTGTGAGCGAGCAGCCTCTTTGATGTGACGAACTGTTTTCTCTCCCAACCAGAGCACAGCGACACAGGAAAACTCCTCTGCCTGGGTCACTGGACAGATGGCGACAAAGAGAGCGTGAAGCAGTCAAAGTTGTCACGTAGAAATCACGTCCTCTGTCTCTGTAGGATTCATCATGTATAGAACACCCGTGTCTTGATAGTGTGTGTGTGTGTGTGTGTGTTTCGTCTTTCTTGTTGTTTTTATACGTATTAAAACATTTTTTGATTTATAAATAATGAGCTGCTTTGTGTTTCTGTGTGGAAACCTGTACTCATCTGTAGATCCTGACAAATGTCGATTTATAAAGGATGGAAAAAGAATCTGGGGCCGGATTTATAAAATGTCTTAAAAGGCAACTCTCCCTGTATTCAAAATTCAGTTCAAAAATATTAGTAAACATAGACAACTCTCTCCCAAATTCACTGACAAAAGTTTAGATTTGTAAATGGTCTGTAAAGCAGGGAATAACTTAACCTGATTCCTCAATACCAGACACTTTAGTCTGGTATTGTGATGCCAGCATTACTACACAGACATGGAATAGTTTGTGTCATCTCAGGTTGTTCATCTGTTTTGGAAATGGTTGCATATTATCAGAGTGTATTTGAGCTTCTCTGCACCAAAAGAAAGGGAGATGTTTGGAGGTGTGGTTATTTATCATGTAATGGTTTTACTGGTCCAGCCCACTTGAGATCAAATTGGGCTGTATGTGGCCCAGGAACTAAACCCCTGTCATAAGGTATAAAGTCTGATGCTGCTCCACAGACAATAAATCGGGAAAGATGTCATAGATGACACTGAGAGCACCCAGGGAAATGGTCTGAGAATACTTCAACAGAATTAAGTTAATTTGGGTATAAAAAAGAAAAAACATTCTGTGGTTCCACAGAATCCAGCTCCTATTAATTGTCTATGGAGCAGCTCCAGACTTTATACTCTGACATCACAAGTTTGAGACTTCTCTGGTTTCTGGCTCTTTGAGAGAGAGCAGCACATGTTCATAAATACTGATTGAATTTTCCTGGACATGGGCATAACATACTGGAATTCTAAATTTAGGTGGTGTTCCCCTTTAAGGCTTAAAAGTTTATCTGAGTTTGGTCAAAGAGTAATTCACAAAGCAGTTTGGAGCTAAAAATAGCTCAAAAATCTGAGAAAAGTTTGAGCTCATTCAGAGGATGCCTGAGGACTTCACTAAGACCTACTCACAGTCAGTCAGCTGCCCCTCTTTGTGTCAGCGTTTTGGACAAAATACAGTTTACAATACAGTTTAAAGCAGTGGTTTCCAACTGGTGGGTCATGGGTCCATTCTGAATGGACCACAAGTGACACACAAACATGTCAAGTTTGTAAAAAACAGACTTTATTTTTAAGTACAGTGAATTACTGGCACAGAGCTTTTATTTTAAAGTGCTGTTTCCTGCTGTAGAGTGAGTGAATAATTGCCAACTACTTGACAGAGACAGCAAACTAGCTTAATGACATGGCCAAGCACAAGTATGAAGGTGAATATTTTTAACTGTGTGGACCTTGAACTAATAACTAAGGAGAACTCTGGACCCTGTGGTTGAACCAGTTGGGAACCACTGGTTTAGAGCATCTATCAGAATAATCCATCAAACCAAAAATAAGCTCTTAAGATCTCTGTTTGTTCAACAGTTCATTAGGCATACATTAAATAATCACCAACTGCAATTAATATATAAATCACTGGATTACCAGGTCAAATTGGCACTGTCTGTAGAATTACTGCATTTGACAACTACAAAAAATCACTCTATCAACATGTAGGTGGTGTTTAATGACATAAAATCGACCTGGCAAGTCAGTTTTACTATTTTTAATGTATAGAAACAAAATTTAAAATCTATGCTTGGTTGCAATTTGCAATCTCACCACTAGATGCCACTATATCCTGCACACTAGACCTTAAAAGTATCAAAACTAAAAGTACACAGCAGGCAGCAGGATGGACCCTGACCCCATTTCATAGTATTGGATCGGTGCTATTGGATCCATGTAAGAAGCATTTTAATGTTGCAGTTGCGGTGGAGCTCATTTTAACTGCTTTATTGGTTTAATCTGCAATTTATCATATTTTTTAAAATGATCATATTTTTATGTCTTCATCTTAAGAGTAATTAGTTACTCTGCAGACAGAGGAAGCTCAACATTGACTCCAGGGTACTTTAAAACAAAGTGGGCCTACAGAACATGTGCTAAATTCAACTGCTGGAAATACAGGTTTAAGTAAAGTAATGACTTGTATAACAACTTAAACAAATGACAAAAACCTCCCAGGGTAAACATGCAGTGTACTTTAGAAAGAGCAGAGGGGGTGGAGGCTGGAGGATCAGGCTCTTCAGGTATCTCACTGAAATGTTGAAGTGCACCTGTGTTTTTAGTCATGCTAGAATAGTCTCTTTATGGATGTTGTTGATCGGCAGGTCACAGTGGTGGAAGAAGTGCTCAGATCTTTTATTAAATTAAAAGTATCAGTACCACAGTAGGATATACTCTGTTTCAGGTATCAATTATGTATTCAAATTATTATTTAAATAAAAGTATAAATGTATTACCACCAAAATATACTTGTAAAGTATCAAAAGTAGGCTAAAAATACTCATTTTATATGTTTATATATTATATGTTTGTAGTCCTGTTTTTCCTTAATGTATCAAGATATTCACATTCTGTTTTTTTTTCCACTGCCCACTGTCTCATAAAATGTGGGCTCAATTAGAGCTCCTCCCATACTTTAATTTATGTACAATGATTACAACTTTGTTATTGTAATATTACTTTCTCGTAATTGTTCTTAAAATATGACTTTATCCTCACAAAATTAAAACTTTGCTCTTTTCTGACTTTTTTTCCTCTAAAATTACGGCTGTTCTCTTGTAACAGCTTTTCTCTTACTTAACCTCAAAGTATCATATGTAGCCTCTATTGTAAGATGTCATTTTCTTGTAATAGCCTACGCCTCTGTGCTGATAAAACTTTTTTTTTTAATTTTCCTCTTGTAAGGGAATGTTTTTTATTTATAGAGGGGAGGGGGCCAAATAATTTTTAAGCACAAGGGAGGGGCTTTTTTTTTTTTTTAAATTATTTTTCTTTTAGTTTTACTTTTTATTTTGGCTTAAATGAGGGGCCTACAAATGTAAATGGTTGTGTTAAGTAAATATTTTACTGCTGATTTTTAAGAAAAAAATGCCTTCCAATCCCACCTTTGGGTTTTGAAGGCATGATTTTCTTAAAAAAATCATCAAAGTTGCACCATTTATCATTGCCAGAAAAAAAGCCAAAAAACAGAAATGATCAAAAAAAGTTTGTACTTTATTGTATGTCTCATTTAAAAAATAAAATGATTGCACTAACTTGCCAGCATGCATGACAAGAGTGAAAAACCAAGGCTTTTTTTTTCAACTCTAGGATTAAATCTTCAACTTTTAATTTTTAACTTTAAACATCAAAGGGCAAATGTTAAAAGTTTAATAGGTAATTTATGGTGCAGAAAGGGTCATGCATTCCAAAGTCACTCAGGGAGGCTCAAGGAAAAATGTTTGTAGCTTCAGGTAAAGTAAATAATAATAATAATAATAATAATGATAATAATTACACTCCAGCCACCACTCTCCTCTGATAGGTGAAGAACAGTCCATAGGAGGACGTTTTATTTCTTAAACAAAAAAAAAGACAACTATATTTTTGTGTCAGTTTTAGTTTTTGAATGGGCTTTTAAATGACAATACATTATTATTATTATTATTATTATTACCATTATTATTATCAGTGATGATAATAATATAATTATTATTCTCTGTTCAAAAAGTCTTTATTCTCATAATATTTCTTAAAATATCTCAGCTTCATTCTCTGAGATCTGACGTGTCTCTTTCTTCCAAGAACCGTTAGGTCAGTTAGGCCAACTTCCTTATGGGACTTTTATTTTGAAGAGGCGGAAGTGGTATTCTGGTGGGAGTAACTTGGTCAGCCGGGGCCGGGCGGCAGCAGTGGCAGCAGCAGCAGAAGTCAGTCGCTCCTGTGGTACTTCGGAGTTACCACTAGCAGCCAGTACCAGTCGGAGTACTTGTATGTTCCTGTGCCGTCGTGTGTTACTTTCTGGCCGTTAACGGGAGCTGAGTGTGTCGTCGTGAGTGTGATGGAACTGGACAAAATGGACGAGAACGACTGGAAGTATCACGGAGAGGGGAACAAGAGCCTGGTGGTCTCACACGTACAGGTGAGTAGGCTAGGCTAACACGAAGCTAACCCAAGTTCGGCTAAAGCAGGAGGAGTGTGAATTTAGCTTTGAGAGGACACCCACCGCCCGCGTCACACTTTTCTAACGTTAAATACACATCGCCTCGGTGTTGCTGACGACGGAAACTTTATAGTTATTATCTGGAAAGTATGTTTAAAGCTGAAGGGTGACATGTCAACTGCCAGGAATGAGGATTTTATTTAGCTATCATCGGTACTATTAGCCTGTGTTTGCTAGCTTAGCCGGCTTGTTAGCCAACAACTAAGAGTTCAAATGAGTCCAACCAATAACAAAAGATCGTCACACAGCGACAACAAAGCTTAAAACACCCCGGTTTTTTTTCAGTAACACATAGATTTAAGTCCAGTCAAGGTGACGGACTGACCGGGTGGTGTTAGGTCATAAAAGGTAAGATCCTAACGGGCTGCTGGGAGGCTACATTAGCTAACGGGACCTGCCTGTTAGCAGACTCAGAGGCTGACCGCTAGTCTTTGAGCTCACTTCTATTCAGGTTAATCCGGAGCTGGACTGATCAGGGCAGGGTGGTGAATCCACTGACATGCCCCAGATCGCCTGTGGGAAAGTCTCATTCACGGGACCGTTGCGGTCATGTTGTTATTGAGCAATTGGTGAGATGTTAGGAGGGTATGACATCACAGCAGTAGTGTTGTAATCAGCTCAGGAACTGTCGAGCTTTCTTGGGGTTTTGATTGTTCACAAAGAAATATACATTTTCATCTGTGCTTCACTTTGCATTATTACAATTCCTCACTTTGTTAGATAAGTTTTCTTGTTCATACCAGCTCTGTAATTATTTTTCTTTTATACGTTAGCAGGTGCAGGACGATCTCCAGGGAAGACAGGCAAAGATACATCCTCTTATTCAAATCAAAGTCTGACTAAAAGTGAAACTAAGTTGCTCAAGAAGTCAAAATTAAGTCAGTTTGCACCACTGAACATTTGGCTGTTTGACAAATTCAAGCTGAAGGGAAAAATTCCTTCTGCAGAAGTCACCAAAAAACATGTCCACTACACTTCAAATAATTTAGGAGTGGTTCAAAACTAAGGAGAGGCAGGGCAGGAGAGAGATTTGACTACTGACCGACTGCATGTAAATGTGGATGTTACAGTAACCAGGTTACTGCAATGCATTCAACCATGTTGTCTGGTTTCCTGCATAACCTTATTTCTCTCAGTGTTGTGTTTTTTTAGGGGGGCATGTAGATGTTCACTGCTGGAATATCCTGACATCTGCTATGTCATCATATTCTCAGGTGAATTAATGTTCTCTCTGAAACACACCCAAATACTGACTGAAGTAGTCAGTGTTGCGTGTTGTAACCGTTATATGATGCATTATGTTTGAAAGTTGTAATCAGAGACACTTGTTTCAACCTGCAGTGGAATAACTGTTTCTGGGAAACACTGAGAAAACTTTATGAGCTGTATCATTATGTTAACCTACCCACAGGAATCTCATGGAGATGCTCCTGGATCGACCCTGCCCAGTAGTTCAGGTGTGAATCCAGGTCTGAGGCTCCGCTGATCCTAACTGTGCTTCTCTTCTTTTCTTGCAGCTTTCCAGAGTTCTACGCCTGCTCAAGTATCCGGCCGAGAACTCTGAAAATCCACCACAGGTAAATATTAGTCTGTGTGTCTCAGGTGTTTTTTGAAGCTGAAGACTGGTTCAAATTAATGCTCAGTAAAACATCTTGATCACAGGGAAAGTATTGGGAATCTTTTAGTTTATGTGTGCTTGTTAATTACATTTATTTTTTTGCAATTTGAACTTCTATTCTCTCTAATAGATACTTTACAGTATACCCCAATTTTAACCCTAAAAGTGCTCATCCCCAGCAATTTTACTGTCAGGCTCAATTTCCCCTAGATTGGCTGTAACCTGACGTCCATTATGTGTTTAGATATTATTGTAGTGGTGTTTTTAGATGTTGTAGCATATTGTCAACCGAACTTGAACCACTAGTTTTCACTTCAAAACAGACCAAACTGTCTCATCTGTCAACCATCTGCAGCCCGACCCTTCTTTATTTCTTATTTTTTGTACAAGGTAATTAGAATCATACAAGGTAAAGCCCTTATTTTTGTTATTTAATCAATATTTTTGGGGACACCTCACATCTTGTTTGAATAAAATGTTATTGGAATTTTCAACTGACAGAATTGATCACAGTTGGGTGTGAGCTCTCAAGTCACAACTGGTCATTTGATTGAAAATGTGCAGTGTGAAGTAACGCACTGTAGAAGATTATTAAATCATTGGGGATTTGCAAAGCTTTAGGCTTCTGCACGGTGACCCTGATTGACCAGAGACACTCTGTAACAGCTGAGCAAACACTCAATGTAAAACATTAATTTTAAAAACACAAACAAAAATGAACAAACTGTTAAATGACAGTGTTTAAAGGAATTCTTCACCCACAAAACAACCATTTTTATACCACTTATTCATCTTGCGTTGCCTTAAAGAAAACTATGTCTTTCTTGCATGCCCCCAGTGCACAAAGAATCCAAAAATGGCGGACATTGTTGATAAATTGAAGTAAACCGGGACGCTTTTAACAACAGCAAAAATATATCAAAACATCTGTTCACAAAACTCATGTGGTATAAACCAAGTCTCATGTATCCAGTCATATGCTCAGTGCCTCCCAAACACGTTGCATTGCCCTCAGCCCCTTTTGACCAGGACTAATAGTGAAACTTTTCTATGCTTCCACTTTCAGTCCTGGTCATAAGGGGATGACGGCAAGGCAAACTACTGCACATGTTTTGCTGTTGTCACTTCATTTAATCAACAGTGTTTGCCTTTTTTGGATTCTTTGTTCACTGGATACATGCAAGAAAAAAGTTTTTTCTCGAATTAAAGGTGACACAGTGTGAAAACCTGATATGTAAATGCTCATTTTGTGGGTGAAGTATTCCTTCAAAGTTTACTTCCCTACAGCAACTGACTGCTGACTGTCATATACTGAATGATGGCTCGGGTTACCCAATTCCAGTAGTCTTGGATGATATCATGGTATCATGGTATACTAACGTATTTATAAATCCTGACAGTTTAATTTTCAGTGCCATCAAACGTAGATACTCCACTTTCTGTTAAACTGATACAGAGGCTGCAGAGACTAGACTACGTGAAATAACAAGCGATAAATGTACCATTGTCAAATAATCAGAGCAAACCACATTTACACAAATACGTATTTATTGTGAATCTTTAATCACTATATTTCATAAAATAACACTACTTTACCAAATGAAATAAAACTCTTGGCTTAAAACAACAGTCTCGTGGCTGCAAACGATGATCTCGTGCTGTATCCAAAGACACACGCAGGTGTTAAACTGGTTTTATAGTAAACAACAGAGCTGTGTGATGCAAGATCTCAGATTGATGACGGAGTGAAGAAAAATGTCAGTAGTCCTAATGATAATCCTGATAAAGTCCATGACAGAGAGGAGAAAACAGATGTTGGAGTGGATGAAGTTCAAGGTGTGGTTCATACCTGTTAGCAGGGTTACAATGGAAACTTACACTGCCTGGCCAAAAAAAAGTCACCACCAAAAAAAAAGGTCATACACTCTAATATTTCGTTGGACCACCTTTAGCTTTGATTACGGCACGCATTCGCTGTGGCATTGTTTCGATAAGCTTCTGCAATGTCACAAGATTTATTTCCATCCAGTGTTGCATTAATTTTTCACCAAGATCTTGCATTGATGATGGTAGAGTCTGACCGCTGCGCAAAGCATTCTCCAGCACATCCCAAAGATTCTCAATGGGGTTAAGGTCTGGACTCTGTGGTGGCCAATCCATGTGTGAAAATGATGTCTCATGCTCCCTGAACCAGTCTTTCACAATTTGAGCCCGATGAATCCTGGCATTGTCATCTTGGAATATGCCCGTGCCATCAGGGAAGAAAAAATCCATTGATGGAATAACCTGGTCATTCAGTATATTCAGGTAGTCAGCTGACCTTATTCTTTGAGCACATACTGTTGCTGAACCTAGAACTGACCAACTGCAGCAACCCCAGATCATAACACTGCCCCCACAGGCTTGTACAGTAGGCACTAGGCATGATGGGTGCATCACTTCATCTGCCTCTCTTCTTACCCTGATGCGCCCATCACTCTGGAACAGGGTAAATCTGGACTCATCAGACCACATGACCTTCTTCCATTGCTCCAGAGTCCAATCTTTATGCTCCCTAGCAAATTGAAGCCTTTTTTTTCCGGTTAGCCTCACTGATTAGTGGTTTTCTTAGGGCTACACAGCTGTTCAGTCCCAATCCCTTGAGTTCCCTTCGCATTGTGCGTGTGGAAATGCTCTTACTTTCACTATTAAACATAGCCCTGAGTTCTACTGTTGTTTTTCTTCGATTTGATCTCACCAAACGTTTAAGTGATCGCCGATCACGATCATTGAGGATTTTTTTCCGGCCACATTTCTTCCTCGAAGACGATGGGTCCCCACTATCCTTCCAGTTTTTAATAATGAGTTGGACAGTTCTTAACCCAATTTTAGTAGTTTCTGCAATCTCCTTAGATGTTTTCTCTGCTTGATGCATGCCAATGATTTGACCCTTCTCAAACAGACTAACATCTTTTCCACGACCACGGGATGTGTCTTTCGACATGGTTGTTTAGGAAATGAGAAGCAACTCATTGCACCAGTTGGGGTTAAATAACTTGTTGCCAGCTGAAAGATAATCGCCCATGCAGTAATTATCCAATAGGAGGCTCGTACCTATTTGCTTAGTTAAATCCAGGTGGCGACTTTTTTTTTGGCCAGGCAGTGTAGTTTAGTGTAATGGTTGCGTGTAGCAGGACAGGGCTCCATTTGGTCACTGCTTTGTTTATTGTCAGTGGAGTAGCAGCAGACCTTACATCCTGGTCTGATTAAAGGCTTGAAGGGACCGTCCTTGATACACATGTAAACTAAAGTATGGCCCCGCCCAACCCTGAATTCAAATAAACTTGGAGCTGCTTATCGGCTGCCAACACTCTGAGGCTGATTCACGACAATAAACAACAGCTAAAGGTATAAAAATTTGAAAGGTTTGTTTATATGAGTTTTATTTGTAGCAACAGCAGGAAAACTGATGAGTGTTTCTAAGTAATCTATTACTCAAACAGATAAAGAAATGAAATATTAGGTGTTTGAGGAGTTTCTGTACTTTAAGAGAAATCCTGGGGCAGCTTTACAAACCAGTGTTTGCTGGTCAACCAGCTGACTTTGTGTTTAACCCTGTCTTTTCCCCCTACAAAGATAGTTGCCATGGTAACTGCTGGTACACAACAAATACACAAGGAACAGTTTTTGTTCAGACTTGCAGATCAGAACTTATGAAAGGACCAACTCCTGACCAGTCAGCGGTGAGGAAGAAAATTAGTCACCATTCCTACAGGATCCCAGTATGGAAAAAATATGTATGTGGTTACACGTGATGTAGATTAGTAGCACTGTAGCTATGTAGGAAGATGATATCTATTTCATACTGTCTACAGAGCAGCTGATTGTTTGTCCAACCAGGGAAACACTGGTTAGTTAATAAACAACGGAACCATTTTAATCAATAAAAGAGTGATGGGGTTGTGGGTCTCAGGTCTGGAACAATGCTCTGCTTACCTAGGATGTTGCTGTTTGCTTAAGTGAGGACAGATAATAAGAGACATTACATTCAATTAATTAGTCATTTGTTTGTCGTATGAAGTCATACAAGGAACAACTTCCGTGAAGTGCGATCCTATAATTTCCCTCAACTTGTACGTTGTGATTTTGCCCTTTCTTCCCTCCTCTGACACAGTAGGCTGCTGCTTTATAATTGCCCGTGTCTCTAGACAGGTAGCATTGTGTGTATGTTTTTGAAAGTGCTGCCAAAAGTGAGGTCCGCAGAAGTTGGTCTGCCAGAGGGTTCAATTTGGCCCGTCAGATGTTTCTAGTGAAAAGTAAATGATGAAAAAAAAAAACATAAGGGAACTCGGGATCCTAGCACCATTTTGCACCTTAACAATACAAAACAATACAACAGGTGTTTGCTTTTAGCCTGTGACCCACCATTAAATTTCAGTTTTGACCCTCCCACGGAAAAAGTTTGGGCACCCCTGATTTATGGCACCCTGGATGGTTCTGGTAATTCCTGGTCTCTGGATGTGGAATGATGCAACTGTAATTTTGTGTACGGTTGCTTTTATTATTGTACAAAGTCAATCCACCGCAGACTCAGAGAATTCACTGATGTCATCAGTGACGTCAAGGATGGTGTCTTGGAACGTGCACCAGACTCAGACAGGTTGGCTCCATCTCTAGCGCCATTAAGGGCATGCATCACTGATTGTTTACATATGTTGACCGCAACAAGATGGCTGCATGGTCGCTCCTCCTGAACACAGGAAGTGGTCGAGTAGATACAGGACATCACCTCACTTTTCCTCCGTCACACTAGTATATATTCACTGTAAAGCACACAGCTCCTCTACAACTCTCTCCAGAGTCCTCAGCTCTGTCAGACTGGCATATAGTGAAAGAGCTTCCTAGTTGAGTGGTACTGTCCAGGATTTAGCCAAGTTTCGTTGAGTCAAAGGATATTACAGTTCCTAATAGCTGGTTGAAAACATGCAGCACGGGTCGTTCCAGTTTAATATCCAACGCCTGTACAATGGCTAACAGGATGCTAGTTTGACTGGTGCCCATCTTTTCCTTCATGTTTACTGATGCTTACATTTGAGAACCTCGACCTAGGCAGCTATCATAAGTCAGCAGGAAGAGAGAGTTTGCAGACTGGTGAGTTGATTTCCTTCCCTGGATAACTGACTCGCAGCCACACACCACCACCACCATCCAACGCCGACCACAAAAAGCACCAGCAACACTTGCAAAATTACCACAAGAGCATAACTTAAACAAGAATTAAGTAGCGCTAATGGAGAGGTGACTGGAAACATCCACACCCCCCTCTTTGTGTCCAAGAGACGATAAATAACTCAAATAACTACTCTGTCAACAGTACATCTCATGACTCAGAACAGGTTATATTTTACCTGTCTGTCTCACGGTCTGTCTATCTGTGTGTTTGTCCTCCAGACGGTGGAACAGGCCTTCCGGCAGATCCAGAACATTGTTGACTTCAGCTCCAATGTGATGAGCAGCCTGCTGGGAGAGAAGTTCATCCACAGTGGGGTAAGACACTGTTGTGTTTACACAGTTTGATGTCATTCAGTAAAAGGTTTTTGTTTTTATCTTATCTTTTATCACTTTATCAACGCTCTATCTCACAGAACATTAAAAGCATGCTTCACTGACTTAACATTACACTGCTGAAACACTGTCGGACTTATGATGAACGAAAAGGGTTAAAATGGATGCAGCAGAACCACAGTGTCTTTATTTAAACCACACATTCCTCTTTTTTGTCAAAACCCAGTGCCTGCATTACCCACAATGCAACCAAACCCCTGATATTACAGTCAGAGGAAGCATTCACACTGGTGCTATTCTGTCCTGGCCAATCGATGGACCGTGGGTCAGTGGTCGTTTCGGGCAGTACCGCCCCAAAACGAGCAGCTGTTGTAACTGCGTGACGTTGTCCATGCAGTTCGGTCCGCTTTAAAAACTGCAGTGTGAAAGTGAACCGAACCAAATGAAGGTGTGAAATTTTTCAGCATTCCCCGCCCAATCAGACTGAATTCCCCGGACTCTCCCGGTGTGAATGCGCCCAGAGATTCAGGTGTGGCTAATATACATTTCTCCTTGATGCTGAAACAAACAAGACAAGTACGAAACAAACAACAATGGCTGCCAGACTAAAAAAATGAAAACTCCAGACGGATACATTTCAATATAAGCAAGTTTGTGACCAGTAACTGTAGCCTGGGACTGTTTTACCTCCCTGGTTGAGTAAGTCGGGAAAAGTCTGTTAAATTTTGCACTTCAAAATAAGTAAAGGTGCATATATTATTATTTATTTTTTTCCTTTATCATAATCAGACCTGGGTGATGAATCAGGGAACTTTCTAGCAGCAGACATTCACAAAAACAGTGAGTTACATTGTTGAAATCTGAATCTCCCTGGGTCAGATGGTGCCTAATTTTAGATTTAAGTATCAGATGGAAGTTAGATTCAGCAGCTCAATTTATTTGCCTGTCAAAATTAGAGCATATAAAAAAGTCACGATCAAAGCTGGCTCTGTACGTTATGCCCCTCATAATATACTGATGACCAGCACAGTGCCAGTGGATCACATTACTTTACATACAGTAGAAAACAGAAACCAAGATGCTGCAGCAGAGACAGATGTTTGGACATGTTCCGTCCACAAACTGGACTAACGTGACTGTCCTTATTTTCTCCACAGGAAGTGGTCAAACTGCCGCTGGAGTTTGTACGACAACTGTCAATCAAAGTTCAACATCAAAGACCTGGTAAAACTTTTTTTTTTTGTTTCTGTGGGAAACATCTGGTATCAAAATCTAGTAAAGGAGCAGTTCAGCATTTTGTGAAATACACTTCTTTTGTTGTATGGAGTCAGATGAGTACTGAAAATGATCTGTGTGTGTGTCTGTGTGTGTGTGTGTCTGTCTGTCAGCCTGGCGCTGTGATAAGGTGATGGACATCTACAGCGGCTGTGCTCTCTGTTTGCCCAACCTGACATCTCCAGCACTCCACCCATCAACACACACTCCTCCACTCTGCATCGAGATCAAGGTACACACACACACACACACACAGACATGCACACACACGTGGATATCTTTTGCATAAAATTGCTTCGCCCAGTTTAATTTGAATAGTGGCACAAACATTGTTTAATAAAAGAAAGGGGAAACATTTATTCCAAGTAAAGAAGTATACACAAAAGTAATAATAAATTTCAGCCTGGTTTTAATTTAATAAGCCTGGGTTTAACTTTACTTCCATCTCAGTAATAAAACTCCAGATCTGATTAAAGATGAATTAATTCAATTTTATTTATATAGCCCAATATCAGAGGCCTTTAAAGTATACAGCACCCTCTGTCTTTGGACCCTCACAGCGGATAAAGGAAAAACTCCACCCCCCAAAAAAAACTTTTAAAGGGGTAAAAAATGATGTTCTTGTCCCGAGAAGCAGTTTCAGTTTCAGAATTGTTTGCCTGTGAATCACCCTCACCCAAACAACACATCACATGACGGACCGTGGGTGCATGAGTGGTACTCAGCTGATGCTATTTTATGTTTTGTTTGTAGCCTAAATGTGGTTTCCTGCCATCCTCCAAACATGTCAGCAAAGACATCAAGACCAAAGTGTGTCGCTTCTGCATGCACCAACACTACAAGGTAACTACAGCCACTGTGCAGAGGAACTACAGCTACACCAACTATAGTACAACAGCCTCTCATTATTATTCACTGACCGTCACAGATCATGTCAGCTGTAACTTGATGGCAGACCAAAAAACTAAACTAAACTTGTCTGTTGTCAGGTTTGTGTGCTCTCTGCATAGGGTGTTTGTAATTGTCTGATTAAAGATTGTTTGTGAGGGAAGATCCTCCACTCTGTGTCACCACTGTACACTCAAAAGTGGGCCGCGTGTTTCTGTAGTTCCAACAACGGAAACAGAGCAATACATCTTGTCATTAATCCCATTCCTATGTTGAAATGTCACGTCAAATTCATAATTTAAAGGTCCAGTGTGTAGGATTTAGGGGCATCTATTGGCTGAAATGGTATATAAAATTCTTAAGTATGTTTTCATTTGTTTATAATCACCTGAAAATAAGAATCCTTGTGTTTTTATTACCTTAGAATAAGTTGTTTATACCAACATATGGAGCAGGTCTTCTATGGAGTCTGCCATGTTGTTGTTCAGTATCCCAGAACAGACAAACCAAACGCTGGCTCTAGATAGGGCCATTGCCGTTTTGCATCGGCCACCGTAGTTCTTCTACATGCTTGTCACAAGGGAATTTCAAGCTCTGCAACCTCACCCCTAGATGCCACTAAATCTGACACACTGGACCTTTAAGCTTATAAATGTTATTTGAATCAGGACGTCAGTATTTGGGTCAAACAGCTCTTGAAAAACAAGATGTGTAAAATGTAGTGATCTACAGCTGCTATATCAGTGTGGCAGATACATATTTAATCAATATGTAGCTACATAGAATCTTTGGATTGGACTACAGAAAAACTAATGTTTCTATGACTTCATCACATCAGCCTTTCTTTCACGTCTTCATTCGTCACCTTGTATTCTGTCTCTCCAGGTGGCCAATGGGAAGTGGAAGAGACGCAGTCTGTACTGTCCTCTAGACCTGTTCTCAGGGTGAGATTACCGCAGCTACTACCGTTACCATCAACAGTGCTCTTGAGCTATGTGTGGAACTCATATGACCAGTTATATTGTGGTGATGTAAACAGTGATAACAGTACTGTATACATCAGTTCAGCAACAAATCCTTCCACCACGCTCCAGATTTAGTGACTGATAGAAAAGCTGCCTCAGTGTTCTACAGCTGACTCTGATGTTCTCTGTCTTTTTCTCGTGTTGTCCAGGAACAGACAGAGAATGCACTTTGCCATCAGACACCTGATAGAAGAACCTCAGAACAACTTCAAAATCTTCAAGGTGAGACACAACCGCACCTGTTGTCCAACTCCATCAGCAACACAACTATTGGTTTAAAGAACAGAAAACATGGAGCACCCCTGAGTGGAGGAATAAACTCAATGATTTGAACAGGAAGTGTAAAGTGAAGGTGGTCCACTCTGCTCAAACGTTATGATGGTGCTGATGTAACTTGTGACACATGGAAAAGGAATAAAGAGTATTTGAATGACTGATGGGGCTCAGAATGCAGAGCTATTGATCAAGAATCTGACGCAAGAATAAGCCAGACTCTCGAAACTTTGTCTCAGCTTGAGATGACTCAAGTTCCAGAAACTGTGACTACCTAGATCCCCTAGTTCAGTTTTTCATTTTGAACCAAAGCTGTGACAAATATTTTAAGAAATTCATCCTCAAATGTCTCTGTGTGTTTCAGGGCGGTCAGTGTATCTACAGCAGTAAGGAGGGCAGTGACGACTCCTTGGACCTGAACTCTCTGCTGCATCATCTCAGACCATACTTCCTGTACGGAAACAACCGAATCAACAGTCACATGAACAGCAAAGCTGTCCTGAACGACTTCATCCAGGTAAAACCAACACACAAATATTTGTGTAAAGGGGTTTATACACACTTTTAATTCAAAGTAAAAATATATTGGTGTTGTGCAGCTGAGCAGTAGACTATAAACGTACCCATGCTAACATCAAGAGTCCCCAGTGGACCAAATTCTGCTCATGTCTCAGTGTCAGAGCAAAACAGACAAACTTGGAGTGTTTTCCAGATGTGAAACGGCTCAGTCAGGTGGAGATGTGAGAAGAGAAACTCACAACAGGTGTCACAGTGTCAGTCTAAAGTTTGTCTCTTTTTAAAGACCCTGGGTTGAAGTTAGAAATGTAGAAGTTCTAGTCAGGTTAGTGTTTGACTTTTTAAAATGTAAGTTATTTTGCAACTATTGATCCGTTATGAAAGTTTAAATGAGAGATCCTGACTCTTTAAACTGATTATGAAGACTCACCTCTGTTGGTCAAACCATCTCTTTGTCTGTCTGTAGGTCCTGGTGAACGCCCTGCTGAGTGGTGGAGGAGGGGATGGAGGGGTGGTGACAGACAGACGAGGAGAAGGGCGGAGCTTCTGTGAAGCAAGTCTGTTCAACAAGGAGAGAATTCGCCACGGTAAGAACCTGCCCGTCTCCCAGTCTGTTTTACTGACTGACAGTTTTCTGTTTCTTTCTCAGTGATTTTCACTCAACAGGTGAACAATTTATTTGACAGGGAACATACAAAAGCTAGTTCTCAAACCCTGTGTCTGAACAGGGACAAAACCTGTGAAAGTTTTAATATGTGACGGAAGGAAACTCAGTTTTTTGTGTGTTTAATGAAAAAGTCCGCCTGTGGTGACGAGGTCTTTGTAATTCTGCTTCTCTCAGAGCAGTGTGTAGTGAAAGCCTTTAAAGCGGGTGCGGCTAAGCTGTGGGTGTTTTACAAACTAACTGTGTGTCAGAGAACACTGACATTTTCAAGGCTCAACAGATTGAATTTGGTAAGTGTATTACAGTGGTGTCGGTTTGGACTTTGTGGTTTGAGCTTTACTAAATCTGGAAGCTCATTAAGTTCAATTTATTGAACACACAATACACAGACTGTAAAATTAAACATTATTAGCACAACTTTATTTTTTTGTCCTTAAGTCTAGTCTCTTAATAATGATTATAAGACAAAAGCCCACTTCAGACTAAATATTTGCAACAAGATTAAACCAATTTAGAACGTTGCTGTGGTGTGAACTGCGTCGTCTCAGCTCGACTCGAGCCAGTTGATCATGTCACCTGCGACTCAGCTTGTCAGATAGCCAGCGGCTTGTTTTAGAATGTAAGACATGTCAACTGTTTCAACAGCCAATTGGCTTGGAGAGAAATCGGTCAACCTGTCAGGTTGTGTGTTCGCTCGGCCTTCATCCCTGTTGAGCCTGAGTCCATTTTATTTACATCCCCGTGGCAGTTGATACATGTTGCTCTCCTTCCTCAGGATGTTGTCAGTGTTTGACGGTGGGTTGCTGCTGCTGCTGCTCCTCACTGTATGTGTGCGTGTCACACAGAAACACACTCACTGACTTATTTATCAGCGCAGGTTATTTGAATTATTTTGGCCTATTTGTTATGACTATGATCTATCTGAAACTTGTTTCGTTTGTTTTTGCCGTTTCATTATTACAAGAAATGCAACTGTAACAAGTACAGTACAAGTAATAATTATTACAATACATTTAAAGCCTTTAAAAACACCCAAGGTCACCTTACAGACCATAAAAATAAAACCAAATAACAAGTAAAATACAGACAGAACAAGATAAGTATCTCTCTATTACTATTGTCATTCATATTTTAACAAGATACAAGTTGTATTCAGCTATAAAATAAGCCTGAAAGGCTGTAACATCAGAAAGGAGGTGCTGTGACAGTTATATAGGTGTCATTCTTGGAACCCATTGGCTGTATTCAGCGTCTGACTTCCGGCAGACGGTGATACAGCCTCTGGGGGCAGACCCCCGATTTTTTGGCATTCCGGTTTGATTTGGGCGGAGGAGGCGAATTTCCGTTTCCGACTTCCGTTTATATATAAGTAAATATGCTGAACCATTGCGATGGATTCAGAGTTTGCAGTGACGCCAATTATGTTCCGCCTTGTAAGTTCACCGCACGGACCGTTTAGCCTGGCAACAACTGCAGCTGGCTCAAACGTGATGGGTCAAGATCACGCGGACTACAGACAGCCTACAACCGGAAACCAGGGCTCTTCCGCTCTTCTTCCGGAGGCAAGATCTCCGGGGTTTGCCAACAGACTCTACATTCAGTGAATGTAGAGTCTGTATAGAGAGACTATATAGGTGTAAACTGGCAGGTTGTCAGAACGTTGCAGAATGGCATATTAGTAGTTGCAAGCTTTGACCTGTCCAGTCATAAATCTTTAGTCTCAACTGGACTAATAAAATTCACAGAGCTGCTGTGGAAAACTACATGATGCTGCTGCTTGTGCTGATGTGAATTGTGACTGTAACTCCGCCGACCAGTCTTGACAGATCCGTCTGTCTCTCCTCTCTCAGAAAGGATTGTCTTATGTGGCAGCCTCCCTCAGAAATGTTTGCGGTTTGAAAGAAGCACTTTTGTCTTTTCACAAACATTTTGCTCACAACATCCGAATGTATGTAAATATGTGAAACTAAAAACCTGACTCGTTTCTTTTTGTGCATGTTTCCTTTATACTGAAGGAGACATTAAATATTCTTCCTGATTGAAGCATTTAAAGTAAACCAGAATTCTGACCTGATGAGAACAGAAAAGATGACCACCCTCTCTGTCTCTGTGTGCAGGCTCTCAGGGTTTACCCAGCGACAGTGTTTTGTTCAGGATTCTTCAGACTCAGATGTTGGACACACTGGACATTGAGGGACTTTACCCTTTGTACCGCCGTGTGGAGCAACACCTGCAGGACTTCCCCAAGGAGAGGTAATACACGGTTAGAGAGTATCAGAAAAAAACTGTAGTAACTTTTTAGTTTTGATAAATCTCATTTGCCCATTACTTATAAAGAGGCACGGTTTTATCTCTGGCATCACTTCCTGTCCGTGTCTGTGTTAGAACTCGTCTTCAGATGGACGGGCCGTACAACGAGGCCTTCTTGGAGAAGCTGCAGAAATGTCCGACTGAGGATGACGGCTCTGTGGAATACGCTGTTGCCAAGGTGAGACAGAGCTAGAACCTAATGTTTGGTTCCCTGCTGTAATATTTCTCCTAATGTCAGCTGACTGTCTGTAGGAGAAATACACACTGGATAAATCATCAGTACAAACACTGAGCTAAAAAAAATCCCAGAGAACGTTGTTGTTGTTAACAAAATATCCACGTAAGTAGTTGCAGTAAAGTTCCACATAACAGACTGAGGGAAAACACAGTTTTTTTAAAGAAGGAACAAGTGAGGTCCTGCAGTGAAAGTGGAAGCAAAGTAATAGCTGCCAATTTCTTTTCTGTAAATCAGTTACCAGTTCGGAGTGGTTTTCCACCCTCTGAACATTTACATAAAAGCCTAAAGAGAGTTGTTTGTCTAACTGCTGTGTTTTTACTTCAGGTCCACCAGTACCGCGTCGCCATGACAGCCAAGGACTGCTCCATCATGGTCGCCCTGGTGCCCAGCAGTGAGGAAGAAGAGGACGATGAAGGGTAAGAGTTAAGCTCTGGATGGCATGTTAATCACTTAGAAGAATCTCATTAAGTGAGAGGCTAACCTTCAGTCTGTAGTACAAGTCCGAAAACCAAGATGTTCTTAGCAGTGCCAGTTCAGGTCAGGTCAGCCATTGTTAGCAGTATGAGTTAAGAATGTATTACTTAGCATTTTAGACATTTAAAAACTGCAGCAGCATGTTCACAGATAGAAGTTGGTCAGGACTGCAAATGTTTTAGTAAGACACAAATACAACAGAAGTGCTGTTAAACAGGACATTACTACAGCTTTCACAACTGAAGATGTGTGCAGCAGCCATATTGGATTTAGAGGTTGCGTTATTGGGGTTCTTATGACTTTCCGAGTTGGCAATCTGACCTCTGGAAAAAAAATCTGTCTGGAAACCCAGAAATTTTGAAGTGCCAGTACAAATTGAACACTCATAAATTTTGGTCTTTACAGACCTCATATACTGTGTTGTAAAGAATCATTGTGTAATAGCTGATGAAGTCCACTAGGTGGAGCCAGACGTCAGCTCAGCACGTTTAAACCAAAACATTTCCGACTCACTTCTTCCTGGTCATTAATGCTCTCCTCCTCCTCCTCCCCCAGTCTCTCCAGTCAGAGGCGGCTCAGGGACTTCCTCTCCTCCAGACCTCCTGCTTTCTCTTACTCAGTCTCCATTTTGGATCTGGACCCGAAACCGTTTGACAGCATCCCCCGCCAGCTGCGCCTGGACCAGAAGATCGTCTCTTGCTACCTGAGGACTGGTGGAACCTTGCCAAAGGGCTCTCTGCCACCGCTCTCTGGCATCTTCACAGCTGCAGAGAGAGAGGACTGCACGCTGCTCTTTCACCCTGTGTGAACACCTAACAAGAGCCGGACGACCCTAAGGACGAAGACTGATGCCACGCTGATGCCTCAAACGGAGTCGCCATGTTGATGCAGAGGTCGAGAATCACTTCAGACCAAAGCTGTTGATGGGAGACTTCCCTGCAGCACTTTGTCTTCACTCAGCTCATGTCGACAGGTGTCAGCTCTGTCTGCTGCTGCTCAGCAAATTTAAAATCTCCAGGAAGTGACCACTCAACCACCAGATGTGTGAGTGACTTCCAGATATTTCTGTTACTGATCCAAGACTTTTTTTGTGTTGCTGTGGCGACCAACTTCTCGCTACTGTCAGGAGGTGAACCCCAACATCACAGTTCCGTTCTGTCATAATTCATATTTATGAGAGTTCGGACTAACCCCTCCGACAGGACTCTTTTTGTGGTTGTCATGGCAACAGCATAACTGTTCTCATTCTCCGTGGCAACACTGCTGACAATAAAGCTCTGAGAAGAGGAAAGAAGAGAGGAGAATGAAAATGATGCAGAGTAATGCAGGTTGTGTGCGTAGATGTACGTATGATGTCATTTCCTGAATGTAGGCGGGGCCTCAGGTAGAGTTGGCACCGAGGCGAAGCCAATATGTTTGTCCAGGTTGAACTGGTGTTCTCTTAAACGTCACTATGGTAACAGAAACACTGGTTACCATAGTTACAGCCACAGAGGAGGGTCTGTGTGAGTCTCAGTTCTCTGCTGGACTCAGAGGAGGTTTTCAGTCCAACTCTTCACACTGATCATCTCATAACTATTTAATTAACGAGAGCAGGTGATGCAGCGTTGTGTTGTATTGAAAACCTTCATGAACCAGAACTGAGAGGTGACAGCGAGTGATGCTTATCCTCCTCGTTTGTTTTGTTTGACTCCTGTTCAGTTATTAGCGGCACGTTAACACATTTTCTCATCAGGCATTTTGTGCCGATTGAAGGTCAAATGTCGGTGACTTTTTCTTTATCAGGGACGAGAGCGGAGTGTCGGTAAAGGGTCAGTTTACCCAAATAAAACTGTTTATCCTCTTCTCAGCCACAATAATTTACAGATTACACTATATACAGTTTTTTTTTTTTAAAAAAAAAAAATCAGTCTGTATGGAGAAGTTCAACTGAAAGAGAAAAACCACACATTGGCGACTTTATTAGGTACACCTGTACAATAGAATGCAATCCAGTACAACAGTACAATCTTAAATTTTGTCCATATTAAAGTTTAAATGTTCATTTTCTGTTGATACTGTCAGAGAGAGGTTTTATTATACTGACAGGTATTTCTAATATTTCGTCCACCCCATTCACAAACATGAGGGGGGCAGATCTCATAATTCAGTCCAGTACACCAACACACCATCTAACACCTCAGTAATTAGCTTATAGTTAAATTAGCAGTTGAACATTATGATTGCTCAGGGTAACACAGTGACGGGGCCGTTGTATTGGATTGCACTAGCTTATACAGTTGTAGTCTTCTTAGTACTGTGTGTTTATATTTAGGTATTTTGGGTGAACTAACCCTTTAAGGTCCAGCTGGGACCTCTGACCATGTTGCTCTTGTAGGGTTCTTAAAACATTTTTGTCCAGCTGCCTTTTTCTGTTCTGACATAAAACCTCCTTTTGTGTTGAAAAGAAAAAGCACATTATTTTAACCTTTACTGTTGTCAGAACAACATTCATCGTGTTTTGTTAGAAGCATTTTAGTAGTGGTCTAACTGGGAATCCCCACTGGAGGTGAGATACGAGTGGAGTGTAAGCGTTCTGTTATCCAATCCACACTGACTAGTTTTGTGCTAACCTGCTTTCACCTGGCTGACTGACAGCAGAAGTTTACTGAAGCTGAAAGACAGACTGGGAGCTCATCGATTAAAGGATGTTTGTGTGATTTTAACAACTACATGTGCAGATTACCCTTCACTAATGTGACACAGATAGACTTGAAGCTTAACAAATGCGGAGGATCAGTGTGGATTGGTAAATTTAACAAATAATGGACCTAAAAAAAGCCTCTAAAAAGCTTTCAGTGGGGATTGGCCCTAACACTCCAGATACGTAGCTTTGTAAAGGTACGGTTACATTATACTTCAAGTATCTGCTCCATCTCCTCTTCACAGTTGAAACTCAAACCATCAAAACAGCCACGAGTTTGCCGTTTGGTGCGGACTCACAGGTCACAGTTCACCATTGACCTGTGATTTCACACCGTTGGCTGATAGAAACACTGATGCAGTGTGTCATCACGCTACCAGACTTCACTGAACAGAAGACTAATGTGACCGTACACTCGCAGAGCAGGAAGCAGAGCCAGAACAGAGGATTTTGAAGTGAAGCTTTCTGTCTCTTCAGTTTGATCTACTGTAGATCAATCTGACCCACCAGAGCAAAGGCTGCTGGGTAACAGAGAGCGGTCCTCGTCAGACAGGCCGAGCTTCATGCTGCTGCTCCGCTGGTTTTTGTGCCATAAGTGGCTTGTTGTGTGTTTGTCAGTGTGCCTAAATGTTGTGGTAGGACTGGAGGGTGGTGGTGGTGGTGGGTGTGTGTGTGTGTGTGTGTGTGTGTGTGTGTGTGTGTGTGTGTTGAGAAACTCAATTTGTTACAGGCTGCGTTCACAGCTGAGATCTGAGACTGATCTGCTGTGATTTGTCTCGGTCGAGACTGACGGATCAGTTTTGGAGCCGCTGTGGACGCAGCCGTGAACTCTCAGTACCTCGAACTCCTGACGACCCGATCTGAAGCTCAACAGGGTCGTCTGATGTTTGCAAAACGATGCGTTCAGGAGTCGCTGGGAGGTTTCTGAGGACAGGGCGGTGATGTCACCAGGAATTGAAACTTGTACCCGGCTCTTTGTTTCCATCATCAGACGAGTGTTGACTTCATTTTGAGGACTTAAGTCCAGATGCTGTTTGTGTTCGGATTATCTCGGGTCTTTGTGTCATCAGGTCCAAACCTGTTGTTTCCTCTCCTGGTGATGTCATCGTCCTCTTTAACCAGCAGCGCTCACGGAGGCTTCAGATAAACTGGTAACACTTGACTTAAGTTCCTGTTTACAGTGTCCACTCTCCAACCTTCACCACCTCCATCGGCCAATCAAACGTCTCAAACAAATCACACTACAAGACTGAAACTTCAGACGACAGTAAATCCCTCACATTCTGCTCTGATCTCCAAACATCAGGCAGAAGGTGATGAATGCCGTGTTTATCAGCAGCAAGTAAACATCTCTGTGACGTGAGTAAATCACATGTCCACCCAGTTATCAGCAGGGTCACATGGTCAACAACTCTGTTAAATCCAAACACTAGAGAGAATTAAAAAAAGACAGATTTTAGTCTGTCAATTAGATTTCTCTTCAACTCATTGTTACCCTGGACCTTGATTTGACCATTAACCAATCACGTCACCCCCTTTTTTGACTGACACCTTAGATGCCTGGTTGTCTGGGAGACGGAGGAGTTAAAAGGCTGGAGAGTGGACAGCAGTGAACTGAACCAACCACTGATCGTTCTAACTGTTGAACTAAAGATGCAACAGGCAGCACAGCAGGAAAGCAGAGGCTCATGGGAGTTAAGAGGGAGGACGGTGGGATATTGTCTCTGAGTGAGACAAAGATTTGATGTCACCATGACTTCCATGTTTTTTTTTTGTTTGTTTTTTTTTTTACTTCTAAAATTTACAAATGTAACACCAAAACATCCAATCAACTTCATCTTCATCTGAACACGTGATTTTCATAATGTTGTCAGTGTGATCATTAGAAAAAGTAGCCGCAGTTTGTGTCTCAACACGTTCTCAGATTTATGAGGGTTTTATCAGACAGCTCAGGAAGGTTGTATGACTGCAGCATGAAAATACAGTGTTGACAATGCAACACTATAACCGTTAATTTAGCGTTCAGTTATGTTAAAAGACCTGGCCGACAAAGACGGTAATTTCAGCACGTCATCAGTGTCGGTCGTTATTGGCTTTTGGCTTTCAGAATTGGCCAACATGCGTTTTCTTATTTTGAGCAATGAATAACGTCACATACATTGAAAAGTATACAATTTCATGTCTCCATCTGCTGGTGGGCCTTCATGATACGAGTCTGCATGCATAATATGATGTTAATTCACTACAGAAGAGACGTGATGATCACTGAAATTAGGTGGGGAAAAAAATATATCGACATCGGTATCGCTTATTGGTCAAATGAGTTGTTACATATTGGCACAACAGATATCGGCAAAAAATCCAATATCCAATATTGTGGAGCTATCAACTATATAATACACTCTTTATCAGGAGCTAAAGTGTGTTAGTTGTCGAACGTTTAAGTCAAGATGGATGAGATGGATGTGTGATGAGGTCAAAAGCTCCAGAACAGGAGAGGAAATGGACTCTGAGTTGAGATTGCTTCTTCGTATTGGTTCATGTTGTATAAGGTGGATAAAGATATGTCATTTCTTGCTACCATCTTTCTGTAGATTAGGTTGTGAGTTGCAAAAAAAAAGTTAAAAAAAAAAAAAACCAACAACATTTTTATCATGCAGCAATAGAATATTTTTTCATCTGGGTAGAGAACCTTGAAGAATTTTGGAAGAAGTGTTGTTGGGTGGAGATTCAATTGATGATATTAAAAGGTGAGAGACACAAACTGGGGCTCAATAAAACATAGAGCTGACACATTTTAAAATAAATGCCTTTAAGATTAGGTTTAAGTTTACAGAGGAAACAAACTTTGTCCTCACTCTGAGACGAAGCCCTGACAGGTGAGCAGCAGTCTGATTGGTCCGCTGCCTCTGCCTCCGCCTGCTGCCTGAGCGTCAGCCTGCAGAAACATCACAGCACTGTGATACCTACAGACTTATAATAACTGCGTGTGTGTAAATAGCTGAGAGAAAAAAACTTATTTGACAATACAAAGGCGACACTGCTGTCTTGCATTTTGTATTTAAATTATTTATTTTTGTAGATTTTGACCAATGAGCTCTGCTGTTACATGTGTCACAGCCGTGCTCTTTCTATTGAATAAAGATTTCTAAGAGACTAAACCGTCACTGTGTGTGTGTCAGTTATTGGACATGTTAGAATATAAAAGCTTTATGTGGGTATAACAGAGATGAAGATGTGAGTTATGTGTCCTGAGAGAGGCTGATCGCCATGATGACGGCCTCCATGGCGGCTTCAGGTCCCAAAATCCTCAGCAGGCTCTGAAAGGCCTCAGTAGCGCCGCCTACAGCCTGAGAGGGAAACAACTGCAGCGCTGCAGAAACACAAAGAGGAACGACAAAGTGAATATCCTCTCATCTCTGTGTTGAAGTAAATTAACTTTAATTAAATTGTGAAATTAATTTAAAGTCTTGGTAACACTTTCTGCAATTTCCAAATAATGTGATAACATCCACAGAGTTTGCTGGCTGGTACTTGTGAAGGGAAAATGGAGACTGAGGCCAATTTGTACACTTTTCAATTATTTAATTCTAAATAATTGCTTGAAGAGCTGCAATAATAAGTCAATTTGACAGAAAGTAATTCTGCAACTATTTTGATAATCGATTGATTGTTTTAGTTTTAGTCAAGCAAAGAAAATGCCAAAAGATATGCAAGGTCCAGATTCTCAAATGTGAGGATTTGATTTTTTGTGATGTTTAAAAGTAAAAAAATCTTGGGGATTTGAACTGTTCATTGAATAAAGTCTATAGGTATTACCTAGGATTGTAGGAAATTATGATATATTATTATGATTGCCATTCTAAAGAGAAATAGGATTAACTGAAAAATAAAAAATAAACATTTACAGTGCTGATTAAGCCTATCACTACAAGGAAAAGATCTGTATTTCTTTGTATAGCAGAGTCGTGGTGACGGGTGTCTGTGGCGACTTTCTTGCACTGACACACCATAAGGGATGCATTGCACATCAATCAGCCGAAGCTAAAGGGGGGCAGAAGGGTGAAGAGCATGTATGGATGGAGCAGCAGCTGGGAGTATGGCAGATGCTATAGCGAAAAATTACCAAAAAGTGTCCATGAAAGTTTCTGGTGTGGATTCTCCAGATAAAAAAAAGAAACTTGACTTTCAGAGGACGGATTAAAATTAGAAAAGAATAAAAAGACTTGAAGAAAATGCAGAGTTTGCATGTTCTCCATTAACAGACTGTTTGTTCTGTCTGTCTGCTCATGTCATGCAGTTCTCACGCTCTCTGTCTGTCTCTTCCTGACCAAACAAACTTCACCAAAACTTCACTTCCCTCTTGTTACTCAGGGGATTGCTGGGCTGAAAATAAATACATAAATAAATTAAATTGGGCCAAAAGTTTTACAGTATTATAACCACAGAAAACAAGCAAGGCTGAACCAAAGTGATGTGTTAGTCTCTCTTAATTATATGTGGGGGATGCTGATGTGAAACTATGAATTAAATTTAATATTAATTTAATACCAAAGTTAATAATATGAATTCATATGACACCACCACTTAAACCAAACCTATCTCACAGTAAACAGTCTGTGTGTCATTCAGTGCTGATAATGTTTCTGTTTATCTAAACTGTCTGACAGTTGGACATCTCACCTGTATCAGGGATCTTTGTCACCAGCTCGATCTTTGGGGTGACCGCACTCTCTCTGGACACCTCGACTGACCAGTGAATGAACAAGACGCAGCTGTACACGAAAACACAGAGAGGTCAGCAGAGGTGTCGGCTCAGGACTGAGTGTTACTGTACTCCATCAGTTTGAGTGTATTTACCCAGGGAGCTCCGGGTGGTTCAGGGTCATGACCTCTGACCTGCAGCCTGCAGGAAGAGAGACGACAGACGGGTACTTCTCCTGCAGAGAGATAAACAGATAAACACACAGACTTATATTATGTTTAGATTATGCTGGACTGATAACTACTGGTTATTTTGGCAAACATAAGTAAGACATTAGTTTTCTTTTTAAAGAATGGGTTTTTCAGTAGAATTATTTTCTATTTGATGAAATGTTATGTAAAAAAATTAATTATTAATTTGCTTATTTTTGCTCAAGAGGATTTGTGACTTTAATTTGAAAAAAAAATTGTTTGTAATGTCCCTTTACTTTTGGGCAAATTACCAGGTAAGTACTCGTTATTTCCTGGCATGTACAAACTTGGTGAAATGATGTCCATTACTGCTGTTTTCCACCATTTTCAAAGCTGTCTCAGTCGGCCTGTGGGGGGCGCTACAACATCTGTTTATTAACCTGAACACTGGGCCTCAGTCATCACAAGTACACACGTTTGTACATGGAGACAAAACATTAAACTGTACATGAGAGTCGAGAGGAAACAGGAGGGAATATTTTGAGTGTGACGTCGTGTTGTTGCTTCATTGACTCTGCAGATGAAATGCTGATAAATGAGCGCTGCTTCAGTTCAAGTGAAAACTTTTCCATCTCTAATTTTCATCAAGAAACAGAAGCAAATGTTTGTGAGCTTTGTGACTCATGAAAACGTTCTGCAGGGAAAAACTCATTTGAGTTTACTGACTTCACAAACGAGATCCTGCGGTGAAATGTGATCTGATAATAAACTGTTACTTTGATTTATACAACAGCTTCAACTCTCTCCGTCTCTCCAAAAGGTGAAGGGTGTGTCCAGGTGACTCAATCTAGAGGTATTTGCAGCTGTGTGTGTGTGTGTGTGTGTGTGTGTGTGTGTGTTGTCTGTAATCAGAAGGTTTCTACACCCTGAACCAGTCCAGATCAGACAAGAATCAGCTCTTTAATGTCCTCTGCTGTGTTTTCACTGAACAGATTGTCAGTTTGAGCCTCTCATGCTGTTCTGCTCATAAGTACTAATTTGGATTATTTTTGCTGACTTTCTGTCCTTTCATTTTTGTCTTTATTTAGCACCTGTTTAACTGTCCTTCTCACTCATGCGCAGTCTCCTTTCCCCCACAGAAACTCAGCTGTAAGTCTGATTTCTCATTTTGTCAAATTAACAAAGTATAAAGCTGTGATGAAACCACAAAAAATGAAACAGGCGGCTATAAAAATCTACAGTTATAATCACTCAAACTATTATTATTGAACAGTTCTAGGTTGTAAAACATTGTTTTGCCATCTCTGTAAACAAATACAGAAGCTAAAATGCAAGAAATAACGCTAAAATCTGATCTATTTACAGGAAAAGTGTTTTATACCAACTTGTTTTTGTGTCTTAAAAGTTGACGTATGCCTGTAAATCACCAAACATATTAATAATTCACATAAAGGCTCTGCAAAGAGTCATCAAGTCTGCAGAAAAAAAAATCACTGGCTGTCCCCTGCTCCCCCTGGAAGAACTTGCCACTTCACGCTACGTCAGCAGAGCAAAAACATCATTCAAGAGCCCTCTCACCCTGGTCACCAACTCTTTGAACTGTTGCCACCTGGCAGACACTACAGAGAAACAAACATGAACCACCAGACTCAGAGACAGTTTCTCTCCCACAGCCATCAGCACACTAAATAAAACAAATAAATAATGTTTACCACTGCCATACTGGTGAAGAGAGAGGAGGAGCGCACACCAGGGTTGGAGAGGTGCTGACCATTGACGAAAATATACAAATTTGAAAAAAGATGTCAGGCGCACACTCTAAGGCTCGATGCAAAAATGTTTTCTTTTATTCACATTTCTACTAGACCGTCTTCATCAGGGTATGAAACATTGGTACGTGAATAAAAGAAAACATTTTTGCATCAAGTCTTAGAGTGTGCGCCTGATATACTGCCATGCAATTAGCACCTGCTCAACTTTAAATACCTTTATATTTATTCATTTATTGCATTTGTATCTCTCACCGAACGTCTTTTGTTTTATGGTTTTTCTTGTAATTTCGTTGTATTCCTATGCAATGACAATAAAGACTTTCTATTCCATTTTAAGTTCACAGTGTTTTATGGTCTACAGATATAAATGAGATACAGTGTGAAAGCCCCACATCAACACTTTCAGCTGGTTCTCTCAGCTTGTCTCTACAGGACTTTTAAATAAAGTTATGTTAATGTGAATAAAATATGAATAGTTGAACTTACTTTGGCAGTAGACAGATAACAGGATCTGCTTTGAGAAATTAACAAATATATATTCAGCTGGAACAATGTGACCAGTGGGCTCATTGCAATATTAATTTGATGTCATGAATATTTGTTTTATTCACCTGCAAGGTAATTAATTACAGTCGCAAAAGACTGAGATGGTTCTTTCTAGATGTCTGTTGTGCTTTTACATTAAGAAAAGGAAAAGGTGTTTGTGAGGTAACGCTGGTAACGCATCTAGAGGTGAGGTTACAGATTGCAACCAACTAAAGTTTTTCCTGTGTTTTTGGCATGTAGAAGAACTATGGTGGCTGATGTAAAAGCACAAATTGGCCCTATCTAGAGCCAATGTTTGATTTATCTGTCTGGGCTGCTGTAAAAAACAACATGATGTGCTCTGAGGAAGAGGACCTGCTCCGTATGTAGATATAAATGGCTCATTCTCAGGTGACCAAAACACAATGTTTCTTATTTACAGGTGATTATAAACTAATGAAAATGTACTTATATTATTAATATTATATACCATTTCTCCTAATAATTGCCCCTATATCCTACACACTGGACCTTTAAATTACATATTTGTAATAGTTAAAAAGGAGAATGCAACTAAAGAGAAGACGTATCACTCCGTTCAAGTTGTTGGAACAACAGAAACACTGATTGTACAGCGGTGATACAGAGAGTGGTGGACCTTCGTCTAGAGTGTGGGGAGTATTTCCTAATTTGCTGCGAGGGTCCTAAGGACAGAGGGATGTTGTATGCTGTAAAGCCCTCTGAGGCCAATTGTGATTTGTGAAATTGGGCTTTATAAATAACATTGATTGATTGATTGATTGATTGATTGAAAAGTGTTCATGAGTGTTGAACACTCCTGACGAAGGTCCAGTAGGACCGAAATGTTAATGTTATGAATAAATTGGCAGACAATTGGCGACAGTTGGATGTGCGAATATCTTTTTTCAAACAGTTTTATTCTTGAAATTAAACTTGAACTATTAACAAATTCCAACTTTAACTTTATTGTAATTTATCCCTGTAAAATATTGTATCCTTACTGGGGCTGAGGTAAAATAAAAAACAGCTGCCCATCATCACAATGGACCTTCTGGAAATAATTTCTATTAATTAAACATTTACAAGTCTATATATGAGTCCACTCTGTTTCACTGTACCAGAGGTTTGAAATTAAGAAAGGTGGTAAAATTATCACTTATGTTTTTGTACTTGCTCATTTTTTATGACAGCCATTGTTATGTTGTTATGTTACGGTTTTGTTTTAATTCTTTTACAAAGACAGAGTTAAGTAAAGTACCAGCTTTGTGACTTACTTACTTTCTCCTCTTCATCCCTTCAGCTTTGTGAGTGGATAATTATACTGTGTTGAGTTCTCTCTTTAACTATTTCATGCCGACTCTTTCCATCATATTCACTCATATTATAATCCAGCTGAGTTTTACTGTCCTTTACTTCAAGACTATTCCCAGTTGACACTGAGGTGGGATATTTGGTTTTGTGTGACCTCTGACCTCCTTCACCCCTCCGTCACCTCCCTCTGAATGTTCCCTTTATCTCCACCACAGAACTGAACCAGCCTTCATGTTTCATACTCAGTAACCCTCCTCCTGTTTTTGTACTTCTTATTATGCAACGTGAGAATATTTAACGCCTGGCTGTGTGTGTTACTGTCATTCTCCGATATCCTGCAGCATGTTGGCAGTGTCCTCCCAGAGACAGGAAGACAGACCTGTCTCCCTCTCCCTCTGTCTGTTTATTACACTCCCTCACTCTCTCTTTTTTTGTCCCAGCTGCAGTACAAATCCTGGCTTTCCCTCACAGCTCTATTAGCCTGCTCTGCTCCACACAACTGCTCCACGATCTGAGACACACTGAGAAACAAAACACACACACACACAGCTTCATCACACAGTGACACACACACACACACACACACCTCTCCTGGAGCTCCTGCAGAACCAGAGGAGGAGAAAAGAGGGTGGAAGAATTTGGCCTCAAGTCCTGCAGCCGCCTTCAAACTGCTGGTAAAGTAGAGTTAATGTCTGTCTGTCTGTCTGTCTATCTGCTCAGCTCCTCCCCTCTGTGTCTGTCTGTCTTGCGATGGTTTGTAAACATTTGTTTCAGTTGCTGTGGCTGGTCTTCTTCTTCACAGGTCCAACAGAAAAGAAAAAGCTTGTGCTCATGCCTTACAGGATCTTAAAACCTGATAAGGACTCTATTAAATTGTGGTCATGACCTGAACCGGAACGGACCACGTACACGTCAGTGCTCTTCCTGGTTTTGATGCAGCACTCCCCAACTTTCCCCTCAGCTCACTGATGATGTTCTGTGGTATTTAAAAACAGCAACAATGAGCTCATGGAGAACGGGAAACATCACAATCGACAGAAAGGCAATGAGGACATTTAAAGATTTGGGGAGTGCTATACCTAAATCAGTTAGACCGTCCTCAGCTAAACTTTACTGAGATTGTTGCATTTTCTTTTTATCAGTTTGTACTCCGTGAATATGAGGAGATTGTTGAGTCAGATTCATGGTGTCGAAAAGTTCTGCGTGAGAGCAACTGAGACCCAAAGCTGGACCACACCCGAGGCTACGTTCACATTGCAGGGCTTAATGCTTAATTCAGATTATTTCCCCAGATCAGATCTTTCTGCCTCAACTGTTCACATTTACGTTTGAAGTAACCTATATCTGACATCAGTGTGAACGGACCTCCGCCCTGAAACGCCTCACATGCAGCCAATATCGTAACACACATACGTTTTGGAACAGTAAAAACACATTTGTAAAACAGGCATTTTGGGGAAAAAGTAATGACATGGTTATGCAAGCTTCATCTCCTGAATGACTGCCATAGTAGGAAGGTCTGATGATGTCATTCTGCATAATAATTAGCCATGTGCTTCTGTTTGAAAGAGTGTTTAGCGTATTCTTGGAGAAAAGGCCCTTTGTAGCAATAGGCATCTGTTTTCAGGTTTGTTTTGGCTTTCGGTGCACTCACTCTATAAGCGGCCATTGCTGGTAGTTCTGTGAAGAGAGAGGAGCTACTGGGAGAGGAGCCAGGAGTCGTGGGCCGCGTTGTGGAGAGTTTCACGAAGGTAACTCATGAAACTCTAACCTGAAGATGTCCAGGGCATCATTTCAATATCTCTGGTGTCACGACATGTAGGCAAGCTGTCTCCGTCAGAGAGCGTCTAGTAGTCGGGCTCCACTGACTGGCGACTGAGGAAGCCTGTCGCAGCAGTGCTACAACAGTCTTCTGTACGTTCTCACAGCTGTGGCAAGGTGATCAGATATCTATCGGATTTAGGACCTTTTATGATAGTGGCCCAGATCTGATTGGAAAAATTGGATGTCTGCATCCAAACTACTCTGGAAAAAAACAGATCTGTGTCATGTGACAGCTTTCTAAATTGCCTTTTATTTCAAAGATCTTAGAAAAAGTCGTTGCTAACCAACTAGTCCCTGCCCTAAATAAGCATTGTATTTATGACAAATTTCAATCTGGTTACCTTCAGCAGCATTCCACTGAGACAGCACTTCTTAGAGTGTCTAATGACATCATGATGGCCTCTGACACTGGTAAATGTACCATCCTAATGCTGCTTGACCTTAGCGCAGCCTTCGATACTGTGGATCATCACATCCTGTTAGACAGGCTCAGTAACTGTGTTGGCATTTCAGGCAGTGCCCTTGACTGGTTTGCCTCCTACCTCTCAGGTAGAAGTTTCTCTGTAGCATCTGGTCCTTTTATGTCCAAGTCCGTCCCCCTTTCTTGTGGGGTGCCTCAGGGCTCAGTGTTGGGTCCAATTTTGTTTGCTCTGTATATACTACCTCTTGGAATCATTATCAACAGGTTTGAGGGTGTATCTTATCATATGTACGCAGATGATTTTCAGCTGTATTTTTCCTTTAATCCTGACAGGACTGACAGTCTGAATGTACTGCATGACTTTTTGTCTGCAATTAATAACTGGATGGTCAACAATTTCCTCCAGCTTAACGCTGCTAAGACCGAGGTCCTTATTGTCGCTCCTGACTGAACTGCTTCTAGGGTGGCGAGCTGTATTGGGTCCCTGAATTCAAATATCCGCTCTAACCTGAGAAATCTCGGAGTTATTTTTGACCAGGCCATGCACTTCGATAAACACATTCACATGTTGACCCGTACATGCTTTTTCCACCTTAAAAACATTGCAAAACTGAGATCTGTTGTATCACATGCTGAACTAGAAATGATCATTCACGCCTTTGTGTCATCACGTCTGGATTACTGCAACTCTCTTTTCATGTGTCTCAGTAAAACTCATGTAGATCGCCTCCAACTGGTGCAGAATGCCGCTGCCAGGCTGTTTACCAAATCACCCATAAACTGCCACATTACTCTTGTCCTGGCCTCCCTACACTGGCTTTCTGTCAGCTTTAGGATCCAGTTCAAAATCCTTGTTTTAACATTCAGAGCCCTTCATGATCAGGCACCTGAGTATCTGTCTGACCTGCTGCATGTATATGTTCCCAGTAGGACACTTAGGTCGGCTGATCACGGCCTGTTGGCAGTTCCTCGCACTAGGCTTAGAACTAGAGGTGACTGGGCCTTTGAGTCCATTGCTCCCAGATTGTGGAACGCCCTCCCTCAGAATTTGAGAGCCGCAGCATCGGTTGATATCTTTAAGAAGCATCTTAAAACCTATCTGTATAGGCAGGCATTCTTTAACTTGTCTTAAGTGATTTAGTTTTGCAACAACTGTTTCATTTTTGTGTATCTGTATGTGACCTGTGACCTGTATGTTTGTATGTATGTCTTGTTTGTATTTTAATCCTGTGAAGCACTTTGTGAGTCCTCTCTGTGAAAAATGCTATATAAATAAATTTTACTTACTTACTTACTTGTAATGTGAGCGTAGCCACGAGACATGACACGACTGAGTCTGACTGCCAAATCTGAGACACAAACCTGAAACACGACTCAAAGCTTTATAGACAGCAGGCAGAGGGGTCCCAAATCTGTATATTTTGCTCATGTGACTTAGCTGTGATCTTCGTTATTGTTCTTTTGTGCATGCAGGTCAATTCAGGATGGTGACCAATTCACATTGGAGTCTGATATTGACCATCCGAACAAAAAAAAAAGTTGTACCTGAGCAATTACTTGGAATTGAGCACTAAAGCTTGCAGTGTGGATGTAGCCATAATGTCCCCTGTTGTGTAGCACAACTCTCTTAGAACATGGTGGTAGTCGCATGTAGCCAGAGGACACAAGTCAAGTCTTTGTCAGTCTGTCTCTGTCAGTGTTGGTTCTCTGAGGTCAGCTTGGCCCTATCAGCCTATTTCCCACTGCAGGAATGTAACGTGTATTTTTTGTCTCTCGTTCTTCTTTTGTTTCCACTATTCTCTGCTTGATTTGGGATGAGTTCCTGGAACTAAATTTGGGGTCTGCTCAAGAGGTGATACTAGGTACAAGTTCCAGGTACTTTCTGGGCTTGGCGGCACTATCATGATTGGTTGAGCAGATGTGACTTCACATCACAACAAGACTACTACTACTGCATTTATATGGAGCAGGACAATCAAACTATAAAGCACTTTGACAGTTGTTATCTATATGTAGATGCTGAATTGTTTATTAGTATGCAGGTTACAGCTCAGTAACCTCCAGTTTTTAGAAGACTCATGACAGACTCGGTGTGAGAAGAAACATGACGTTACAAATGCTGCAGAAACAGAAGCTAAACTGCACACGGCTGCCTGAAACTTAGTATTTTATTATATTTTACAGGCCAAACAATAAATTATAAGAGAGTTAAAATGATAATGAAAGTAACTGTTACTAAACTCTTATTTACTTTGAAGCAGCTGACAGTGGAGGTGACGCTGGGGGAGTTGTAGAGAGAGAACTGTCAAGACAGTTGAAACACCAATGACAACTACAAATCTGTGTGGAATCAAACTTTAAGTAAGTTTATTTAGTGAGACGAAAAGGATTATTCATTGGCTAGAAGTGTCGCTTTGCAGCTTTTGTCAATGACAAGTAAAAAGAAACACGTCTAAAGGAAGTTGGTGGCGTTCAGAAGTCATTTTAACTATTTCCCCAAGTCCAGTTAATAAGTAAAATACTGAGGGAAACAAACAGAATAAAACTTTACATTAAACACTGTCTGCGTTTCTCACAAAAACTGCCTCCAGGTTATTTTTATCCTCAGCTGCTCCTGCTGGAAGTCTCTCCGTCTGAGCCTGCTCATCCAGAAACTGAACTGCTGAATATTTTCCATGTCTCTCCCCTCCCTCCTGTTTTCTTTCCTGTGTCTCACACATAGATCTCTCTCTCTCTCTTGCTCTTTGTCTCATGGTCAGCACTTTCTGTTTTCCTATTGGTTATTGGAGTTAATGTGGGAGGGTCTCAGAGCACGCTGACTATGTGCTCAGACCTCCAGTCTGTGGAGCTGCAGACTTCAGCTTTGTTTTCATCTAAGAGAAATGATTAATGATTAATGTGAATGATTAAAAGGGTGTGAGCTCATGGATGAGGGAGACATACTTATCATGACGTGTAATGTGTGCGCTGCTGCTCTTTATGGGAGCTGTAGTTTTTGGATGCTAACAAACTATTGTTTGATCTTGTTAAAATCATGAAGGGTTTGGATTCTGTTTTACATACTTGACTTTAAATTTGTTATCTTGTCAAAATTTTTGTCTCACTACGCATCACTTTATTTCCCCTCATCACCCTGCTGTGTTTGAGTGTTTGAACTCAGGGTGTAAATTTATGCAAGCCCATCTAAACTGACATTGGGCGAGAGGCGGGGTACACCCTGGACAGGTCACCTGACTATCACAGGACTGACACATAGAGACAGACAACCATTCACACTCACATTCACACCTATGGACAATTTAGAGTCACCAATTAACCTGCATGTCTTTGGATTGTGGGAGGAAGCTGGAGCACCTGGAGAAAACCCACAATGACACGGGGAGGACATGCAGACTCTGCACAGACGGGCTCCCCCACCCTGTGTTCAAACCAGTAACCTTCTTGCTGTGAGGTGACAGTGCTAACCACTGCCTTAAACCTTAAATAATTTTTTTTTCACGGCATCTTTGAAGCCTTGTTTATTGTATCCATGGAAATGTCGACAAACACGTCAATGAAGGTTTCCTTACACAAAAACTTTTCTGATAACTACATCACTGCATAACTTAGAAATGTTCAGACAAGCTTGATATCGGGTTATTTGTGGTGCTGTGTGTATACAAGTCAAAGATACTGACACATTTTCTTTCAAACTAATTTGTGTGCAGATGTCTAGATTTCTTTTTAGCTATAAGACACTGGGGGCGGAGCTGTTTTGCAGGCGTGTGCGTTCAGTAGGACATCATACATCTTGCCTTGCTTTTGATGATGATTTGGCCCACACTATCACACAGTGTGAGTAACATTTTGGCTGTGTTGGCTGCCTGCTCCAAACACCATGAAAAACACTCTGCCTGTATGATCGATTTATTTTGAGTATAGGGGCAATAGTTTGAAAACACAAATAGTTTTCCATACTCCTCTTATTCAGACCTAGAAATTACAGAAATCAAAGTCATACTTTCCATAATATGTAGGAGCCCTGGTCTGCAGTCTATATTTGTTTTTCTGGCTACATGCAAATCAGTGTCAGCACTACTCCAGTCCAGAAGGTGGTGGTAATGCACCTGAAGCTGCTTGGCAACTGCTAATAACGCTAGAAGATAAACATTTGTACTCTGGCAGCTTAGTTACAACAATCACAGTTCAGTGAGATAACTATCAATTATCCATCACTGCTGTGGATGATAATACTGTATATGTTTGGGTCAGTGATAATATAGGACTGAAGTGTAGTTGGATTACTGTGAGGTATAATTAAAGGCTGATATCAGCACCATGAACTGATCTGCGCCCAGTTATTACAGTTTGATGTGGATTATTTCTTGTGCTTACAGTTCATTTAAAGGTCTGAGCTCATAATCAGGGCCTGACACAGGGTCCAGGATCAGGTAGAAATGTGGTCTGAGAGTGAAACTCAGTAAGAATGGTAAACTGAGGCTCAGTCTTTCTGTCTCGATATTTATGGAGTGCTGCTGTTATCTTATAGTAACAGAGGAGCTACATGTGGAAGAAAAAAAAGATTTGGGACTCTTAATTGTCCTACAAACTTATAAAAAATTGGTTTATCCACAAGAGCATTTTGCAGAAATGTACATGGATAAAAATAAATAAATAAATAAATAAATAAATAAAAATGCACACATACACACAGAAAAAATTCCACAACGACCCTGGATGAGGTGTTTGCAGCTGCTGTTGTGAGTCAATTTATGGAAATAAAAACTCTTAAATATATTTGTGTGATCAGCATTACAAATGACTAAAAACAACTAATGTTTTTGTCACTTCAAATCAGGGGAACTATGATTATTATCACCATAAAAAGTGGCTGTAGCTAACATGTTAGCAAACAACTGTTGCCTACCATAACCATCTCACTTAAGCCCATCTGATAAATCTAAATCCTTATAGTCACTCTCTTTTCAGCTCTGGTTTGGTCTCCACCAACGAACGTAGTCTCTTTAGCCACTTCATGTTCCACCATGTTGACCGCTTACAGCTACAGCGGGCTAATCAAACCTTCAGCTCTTCAGACTACCAACAACTAAATGTCTCTATCTGGACACTCAGGCTTGCTTTGGCACCTTTGCAATAAATGAGAAGCTCCTATTTATTTCACAGCAGCTCCCATAATGCATTGGGGCAAAGCTACAGCACATTTATTATTGTTATTGAGGCTAAAACAGAGAACTCGTCCAATCTGCTCCAACTATCAGGTGTGTGAAGGTGTGTTGGAGTCAGATCTCTGCCTTAATAATGACAGGACTGCTGTGTATAGACTAGTCATTACACACACTAACACACAGAGGGAACCAGCCATTAAGACCCCAGCAGAGAGCTATATGAGCACCAGCAACAGCTCTGATAGCTCTTTTTGTCTGAGGAGCTGCAGCAGGTAAAAACCTCTGTCTTGATTCTGTCTATTTTTCTGCAGGTGGAGAAACAACACAGATTGATCTTTTTGGTTCAAAGTGTCTTCGCTGTTAGCTTATGCAATATTTCAGGATATCAAAACGTGAAAACCAGTCGTTTCTCTTCAGGATTTTGTGCCTTTACTGAGAATTAACAGTTGAGAGATGACAGAGTGATGGGGAATGACAGGAAATAAGAGTCCAAGGTCAGACTGAATGTAATGGTTTACTGTCAGCGCCTTAAACCCTGAGGTCAAAGTCGGTCAGCGTTACTGAACTCTTGATTTGCAACCATGGCTACTGGGATTATTAACTGTCTTGTCTTTGACCTTGACTGACTGACCTTTGCCTTTATTCCACAGATGAACCAGTGAAGTCTAGGGCTGGGTATTGAAACCCATTTCTTTTTGGGTACAGGGCGAAATGCGTTTGTAGCATCAAATATCAAAAACTGTATGGCTGTTTGTGTTTGGACTGCTATTTATTATTTAGGAACTTTGGTTTTTTTATTAAGTGGAAAAAGAGTTTTATAGTAAAATATACATTTCTCTCAAAGTAAGGCTTCGAAACAAGCATCACTTTGGTATCAGCAGACTGCTCTTGCTTCAACACTAGTATCAAAAGCTTCCTATCAGTACTCACAGTGAAGCTCTAAATGGAAATAAAGGGTCATGTGCGGGAAATGTTAAGCTGGTCTGTGTTGCTCTGCAGGGATGAGGTGGTGGCTGGTGGCGGCCACTTTGCTGCTGCTGGTGGTTATAACCGTCTCGGACACCCAGGCCAGACAAAGACCTCGCAACCATGACAGTGAGACCCGCCGCGGGAAGAGGAAGAGGGATGGACAAGGTAAGAGTCTGCTATCTGACTGCATGATAGCTAACAAGCGGATTTTCTATCAGTTCAGTCTCTTAAAATCATGTCCCCTCAATCATAAAGTTGTCTTGAAACGAGAGCGACAACTGGTTGTTCTGTACAAATGTGGATCAAAATCTTGTGTGAGGTGCTCGTGAAGAACGGGAAACAACAGAATCAACAGGAAGGCAACCCAGGCACTTGACAGTTAGCATTGGAGCACTTTGTTGACCAACAGCTGATGGACACAAGGACTTCAAACCTCGAACCTCAAAAGTCCTGGAGCCAAATAAATAAACAATGCACACACACTACAGCACAAAGACTATAAGACCAGAGATATCCTTGGTTAATCATACGTTTGCATAGACAACCAGTTGCGTCATGAACGAAATTATTCACATACTTGGCTATGTACTACGTGTGGTATTGGGGCAGCAGCGCCATCATAGATGGTATGCATAAGGCATATCTTGACAATGGTGAGTTTCTTTCTCTCGTTCTGTCAATACTGCCCTGACTGTACACGTGTGTATTACATCTTGTGGACATGTCATGTTAATTTTTGTGACTTGATTTTTGTGAATTTTTGTGACACAACCATTGCACCAAATGGATGCAGGTAATGCGAGGCAGCCAACATGTGCACGCCAACACATAGCCGGGTTAAAAGCAACTAAGGTGAGAGATGTAACATTTTGATAAAAGAGTTTTCAGGTTGGTTGCCAATTTCACTGATTGTGTCATTATTTTTACAGGCTGCACAGCTTTCTGTAAAATATTAGTTAAAACCATTTATTAACTTCATTTTAAATTATTTATATTTTATCACTTTTTATCTATTTTTGTGTCATCTTCCTGTTAGTGGTCATTTACTTTAATCCTAACTGTAGCTTAATGTGTTAAATGCTCTGTATGTAAGAATGTGGCCAAAACGGTTGCTGCACACATTCAAAATACTGCCATGAGTCTTGTCCACCCCCCCTCCCCTACAGATTCGAGGTTGCTGGACAGCGGCACACTGGAGACTGATTTGTTTGCCCACGGGCAGCTGCCGTGGCAGGGCTGCGTCGCCGCGTCCTTGATCTTTGGTTTTCCAGTGGACCGTTCGAGCAAGTCTGGCTTCTCTGCTGCTAACGCTGCTGCCGGGATACAGCTGAGGAGAAGCCGGCTGCTAATGCTGTGTACTGGGACACTGCTAATGCTGCTTGCCGTGCTGCTGTAGCTCAGTCGTAACTGTAACTGATGCTGAGACTCTACTGACTGCGTGACTGGTAGACGGTGGTGGGTGGCGCAACAGGCCAAAACACAAATTCAAAACATAAACATGATTTGCGGACCGTAAAAATGTTTTTTAAATGGGAATATTCTGGCTGTACTATTGTTGTCGGTGAGATCAGTATGTTATATGAACATTATTCCTTAGTCTCTGTGACATATTAGGATGATTTTACGACTATTTGCTTTAGATTTCTTACATATAGCTCCTTTAAGTCAGTTTCAACATGAGTGCTATTAAAGAATCTATCATCCTTCTGACGTCTAATGATAATGAGGATTGAGATTCTACCATAATCATGGTTTGCAAAATGTGCTGAATTAGTGGTACGGACACTACAAATATTTCAAAGCTGTGTGTAAAGATAGCTGCTCTGGCACTGTTGGAGATCCTCGTTGATGCGACACAATCAGTGAAATTGCAATTCATTGCTGCTCTTCTCATTGACAGATCAAATGAATGGTAGAGGAGCACAAGCATCAATATTCAAACAGATGTTACAGGGCATTTCTAAAGTGTTTATGGATAGCTGTGGGCCTGGAAATTAGGCGTGTGCACTGAGATTTATGAAACAGACTCAGGTGTATGCACAGCATTTCAAAACTGACGAAAAGAATGCATATGCACATTTCTGTCTTTATACATACACACAGGTTTAGTTGTGAATCTCCACAGAGTTTTATGCATCTGACCCCTGAACTCAAAGAGCTCTGTCCTAACATTATCTTATGTTTCTCTCTCCATCACAATTCAAAGTTCAGTCTTGTTTTGTGATGTAAAACCTTCTAATGAGACCAGAGCAACTGACAACATGTGGAGTCCCACAGGGGAGCATCATGGGCCCCCTACTGTTTTTTTAATACTTAAATCTGTTTGTGCTGAATATCTTCTTATATGCCACTGATTCAGCCATTTTGGGTTTGCATAACAATAGGAAAACATTAAACAGAATTCAGTGAGCTCAAGAACTGGCCTGTGGACAAGTTATCTCTTCTCTTTTTGGGTTTTTTTCTGCTTTTAGAAGTTTCTAGATAGATGAAGATGAAATTGATATGACCATGTGTTGCAGGTCATGTGCGAACCAGAGCAGGGCACTCTAGACCACTGAAGATCAGACTGATTCCTGGTCCCAGCATCCCAGTGGATCCTGGAGTAAATCAAGGAAACACTCTGTTCCTGGATTCCTACAAGAGCATACATGAACAGAAGTCCAGCTACAATGTTATCCCAGGTCAGTGAGACCAGTAATACTGCGCTAATACAATATCAGACCAGTAAGTCAATTTTAACTCAGATTAGCGAGACCAGTAACTGCTACAGATGCTCTTATCAGGGGTTTTTAGGGTTCATAGCAATTTTTTATGAACTTAATGATAATATATTCAGCATTTTTTATTTTCATTATCATTTTTTTCTAACCCTAACCCTTCTATAAAATAGGGGAGATATCCTTCATAATTTCCCAGTCCAAGGGGACATCTTAAAATTCAAAACACAAGAGAGACCTTGCTAAGGAAGCCACCATATAAAATCACAACATATACAAATACAACAGGAGATACAAGAATTTACAATAAAACAAAAAACAGCTTTTTCACAAAGTGGCCTCTAAAGAAAAACATCCACATGCCTCCATCACCACATTCTTTGTAATGCCCTTAAATTTATCAATGGATACAAATGCTCCCGAACATTCTGTTTATTTATTTATAATAACTTTTTATCAAAGTTGTTGTAGATCATTTTCTGTCAATAATCGATCATCAATAATTCCGCTTAATCTGCTTAAACTATGCATCAAACAGAAGGCAAGTTTAAAATTTAACAAATGAACTGTGGGCGTTACGCTGAAAATATAAAAGAAAACATCCATGTGAAAGTCGCTGAGTGACACCAGTGTGAGTTTGTATATGTGCAAATGGAAAAGCATGTTCCAGCCATTACTCTGTGTCCATATAAAGTCTCTGATACATCCAAAAATAATCCTCCAAAGCCGGTTTTAATTAAGAAGATAAAAAAAACTTTCAAGAAGATTTAAATAGAGCACTAGTTGTCACTGTGCAGCAAATCTGACCAGTTTTCAAAAACAATTTAACTACTTAGTTTGTGTCCATAGGTTTATGTATAAACCAACATGGAAACATGCTGAGTGTATCTTGGCATTTAAAAGGTTTAAGTGGTATATTACACAACAGTTTTGTAGTCAATAAAATCTAAATACATCAAAATAAAGCCTTTTGCTGAATAAAAAGCAGATATGCTAGTCAAACAGGGTGTATGAGAACAGCTAAGCTCTGGGGCTTCGTCCTGTTCTCATAATAAAGCTGCCTGTTATTACAGCTCAGTAATTTAATGACAAATCATCACATTCCACCATGAACAGAAGGGAAAACCATCTGTGGGAAAAGAGCTTGACAGAAAATAAGTCCCACACAGAGATGAGGACACAGACTTTAAAGAAGGACCTCAAAGTCGCGTCGAGGCCCTCCAGTTTAAAACAATAGAGTCAGCATTATGTAATTAGAAGGGAAGGTGGTGCTGCTCTGTTGTTGGGAGCTGCAGGGGGATTTTGTGGGGTTCTGTTTTCACTGTTGTTTTGAGATGTGAGAACTTGCGTGTGTTCAGACAAGCAGACAAAACTGACTGTGACGCAACGACAATTAAACAGAACAGACGGCAGTTCAGAGAAACAGAAAGTTATAGATGTCAGACTGACACGACAACCAATAAACCTAACTGGGAACTGCAGCGTGAAAGCTCATTCTGGATCTTGGGAACGGACGTATGAAAAAGTAATCTGATCTGGATTGTATGGGTGGGGGTGATCACAACCTCAGCTTGTAAAGTTACAAACAGGGGTGAAACCACACATTGATCTGGATCACTACATATATCGATTTCATGATCAACAATCCAAAATCATAGATGCAAAGTGAAAACATAGATAAATACCGTCACCTTTAAGATATGCAATTATTTTGAAATTCTCATGATATGTCTGCGTCAGGATTTCAGTCCAAGTGCTCCTCTTTTCTAAACATTCAAACAGTGCTGGGGGCCCTGCATTGGGCAGATCATGGTGAGCAACAAAGAAAAATAAATGAGGATATTTACTGATATCACTTTGTATGCTGGGTTTCTACAGCTTAAGGCAAGCTAAATTTAAGATTTACAATCAGACAGAAATTTCAGAGCAATTCTACAATTACCAAAACTAAAAAACAAACAAACATGAATCAGCATCAGTTATGCGTTAGGGACAATTTTGCAAAAATGTTAAATGTAACAAAAAACATGACTTTTCTTATGGCAGAGACAAAGGTAAAACCTGGCATTTGTTTTTGTTTTTTCTTGGGGACTTTGTATTTCTCATGCTGCATGTAGAATTCTATGGCCTTGATTCTGATTGTGCAGTTTGAAAAGTTTTTGCATAACATACAATGAGCTCCTCAGTTCTGCAGAGCCCAGGATGGTATCTTCCAATGTAAAAAATGAATAAACTAGTTGTTTCACCACTGGTAAAAACACATGAAAATATGCACTAAACATCGTAGAAAGACGGTGCCACAACAGAGTCTGATGGTCGCTGTGTTATTTTTACAAACCCCTGCAATTTACTTGACAATAAAGTTATTCAACGACAGCCAGACACTATTTTACAGAGAAAAGAAAAGCTCTAAAGTATGTGTGCCCCAGCAGAGATGACAGGGTGACAGTCACACTGCTGTCAGTAAAAAGGGACAAAGATAGGAGAGACAGTATTTAAGAGAAACAACCTGAGCCTCTTAACTACCTGTGCTTCTATGGACGTTAAGAAAGAGCATACCATTAGAAAGGATAGATGACAGACAGGACAGACTTAAAATAGACCCAAAGTGTCTCTTCCTGCTGTATCATAGTGGTTTAACAGTCTTTTCTACTGACTCACTGCCAGTCACAGCCTCGTCCTGTCCCAGGTCTGATGTTAATGCAGAGGGAGGAGTGGAAACACTACAAATCACTGCTTTGTCTGGTTCTGATGGTAAAGTACAGGCTTTAGATTTGACTAGACGCACACAGCAATTACTGCAGCAGGGCTCGCTGTTGCTGCTGCTGCTGCTGCTGCTGCTGAGGAGGATGATGAGGGTCAGCATGTGAGGTTAAAGGTGCCACATGCACGTTTGAATTTGCTTTGTACCTCTGAATCACTACACACATTTCCGATCTGTCCAGTGATTCATTTCACTCTGTTGTGCTCATTGACAGCTGTTCTCTGGAACAGCTGGAAAATTGAATATGGGCGTCATCTTCTTTCAAAATAACGATTAGTGAGGATGTTAGCAGCTACACAGGCTGTAAATCAACATGTTTCTTTGATCAAGACAAGTTCACTGCTCCGGCTTCAGTCAAAGCTTCCGGGTTGATTTAAAAAAAAAAAAAAAGCATGTTTTAAATTTATTTCAAGGTATGAAATCTGTTTTTATTATGACGACACAAGGCTCAGGCTAAATGTTGGATTTATGAGTGAAAAGAAACACCAGATTTATTATCACGACGTCACAAACTAACGATTACTTCAATTGTTGATTAATCTGTTGATCATTTTCTTGATGAATTGATTGGTTGTTTGGTCTGTAAAATGTCAGAAAGTGGTGAAAAATGTCAATCAGTGTCTCCCAAACCCAAGATGATGTCCTCAAATGTCTTGTTTAGTCCACAACTCGAATATTCAGTTTACTGTCATAGATGAGGAAAAAAAAACCTAGAATAACAAGCTGGAAGCAGAAAATTTTGAATATTTTTTTTCTTGAAAAATGACTCAACCCAGTTAATCGATTATTAAATTAATTGACAATTAATTTAATAGTTCACAACTATTCCATAATTGTATCAATCATTGCAGCTGTATTTCTCATCCCATTCACTGCCATACAACACACTGCTGCCGACAGTATCGTGTCACTGGTTGCAAGCTTCGTTATTTTGTTTAATCAATTCATACTTTCTGGAGCTGCACAGCCACAATGCAAAAGAATGTATATTTTGCGATCAGCTCACAGTGGTGAGGGTCCATGCTAATCATGTTCACTGTCTGTGTGGGAGTATATGAAGGTCTTTAAACAGTTACAGTGTACTTATTGGAGAGTTAACCTACTATCTTGTGTTTCAGATTTTATCTACATCACGCTGGCTCCACGGCCACATTACTGACACTTAATTTTTAGCACTTCAAGCTAAAAGAAGATTTATCTTGCAAACTGATAACGGTCATAATTTAACAATAATGAAATGATATTTACTCCGTTCATATTACGCCCACTGTAAGACCTGTTAGAATTATAATGTACTGACAGTCATGTGTCTGTTGTTTCAGGTAAGCAGGGCCAGTGTGTGTACCAGGGTCTGACCATGTTTGACCAGGCCGTCTGGTCTCCAAAGCCCTGTGTGACTTGTCTTTGTACCGGAGGGCGGGTGGTTTGTGATGAGATCACCTGTCCCCAAACGCACTGCCATTTCCCTTTCACCCCTGCTGGGGAGTGCTGCCCCGTCTGCATGGAGTCAGGTAGAAACACAACATGTGGCAACGCCATGGTGCAACATCAGGAGGCAACAGAGATGAGCAATGTTTCTGACAATCAGGACCAATATTTGAAGGGTCTCATTCAACACTTTAAGAGTCACAATATTTCGGGAAAGGTTTTGTACAACATAATCATAATTAGGTCTGTGACGTGGGACATGTGGGACAGTTTTCCAACGGGTTAATTTTTTGAAATTAAACTCCTCACCACAGAGGGCATGTTACTTGTCTCTTGGAATAAATGAAATGAAACAATTTCCATCTCTGAGGCCTCAACATGTTGCGTCTTGTTTTCATCATGGCTTTAAAAAATGTGTTTTGCACATTTTGGGTCAGTTCAACACACATGTTGTGAAAGTTTTAACAGGTCTGAATATTGGGAGATACCACATGTCGTTATCAACATGTCCAGGGTTGGTTTCACCTTACTGTCAATTCAATCTCATCACAGTGAAGACTGGATGTACATCTGAATCTACAACAAATACAAATATATCTGAATGAGTTGCCGAGCAACATTATTGTCAGATGTGTGCACATGCTGGAGGATGAAAACAAACCAGAATAAGTGAGAGTTTACGGGGAGGTCACCCTAAGGAATTGTTTTCATACCATGAACTGTTTACAACTGAGAGAAGGAAACCCTCTGTTCTCTCTTCTGTTTTGCTGACAGCTCCAAATACATTTAATGTGTCAGTGTGGGACTTGGTGACAGCTGATAGAGGTGGCAGACTGATGGTTTAGGATGGAAAATATATGACGTTTTCATAGATCAACGTCACAAACAGGTGTGGAGAGTTTGCTTTTTGTGATCCTGTGTGGCTGATCAATAATACTTATTAAACCCTGGATCAGCACAGTCTCAGAGTAGTTTTGTATGTATGCACAGCAGTCATCTAATCTTACAAGTTATTGCACAAAGTCAAGGCATAATCTACAGGTGTGTGTCTACAGCTATCAGGCAATGAAATGTTATGCTTTTTAAGACCCTTTCAAGACACCTTCTAACCAATTTTAGGACAGATTTTTGGATGAATTATGTTTTACTTATTTGGGCAATGCAAGTAAGCATTGCAGGCAAGTAGAATATATGTGGTCTTGTGCAGAGATAAGTGTTATGTAGGAATATGGATATTAGAGTGAGTTAAGTTAATCTACATCTTCCCAACAGCCAAGTTCAAGTATGAAATAAAATGACAGTGTTATAGTTTTTTAAACATTAAACATTAGAAATGTGGACTTTTACATAGACAGGCTTCACTCATTTTCACAAAAAGAAATTAAAAAATGGATAAATGAAACTAGATAAAATGTTTGTAGCAGTTAAGACCTCACAAATTTAAGACCTTTTAATGACTTAAGTCCTTATTGTTGTAACATTGAACTGAACTGTAGACATCCTGGTAATCTGATGGCAATCAGCAAGAATTTCATTGATTTTCTCACTACCTGTAAAAACTTACTTTGAGTAGTACTGTTTAGCGTAACCGCTGCCACTAGCTGCTGTTACTTTTTACTGCTACATGTTGGATACTGCAGCAAAGAGAAGTTTTGTATGTGGATATAAGTTGAATATATACATTTACCTCTAAACAGTTTTACTGGTTTCGAGCAAAATGTTTTATTTTAAATACTGAAAGTGTCCCTATATGAACGATCATAATATTGTTTCTGAGTTTTCTACCTCCTTGCTGTGCGTGCATCCTTTATTGTAAACATGAAACTTGTCTATAAGACCTCTGTGAAATTACAGAAAAAAGTGCAGTGGTTGAATTGACAGTAACTAGTTTGTTGCTCACAGTCATACACTGCACAGTCTTTTTTTCTATGACTTTTCACTGTGAGTAGATGTTTGTGGAGTACTGTATTAACTTGATAGCAATAACCATAGAAACATGTACGTATCTGTGTAAGTAGTGCACTGTGTATACAGCAAGATATGTTTGCTGTATGTGGTTAACTGTGGAAGAAAAAACACTAAGAGCTGTTTTATACTCAGAAGAAAAGTGCTGGTCCTTCAAGTGACCGGTATTCTAAGATGAAGTGCCCCGAGGCATCTTACAGTTTCCTCATGTCATCTCTATAGGAACCATCATTAGCACTAGCCTGTTTCCAGACCTCTGAATCACTGTCCACATCTCTGAATCACTGCCCATGATTTGTGCTGTGATTCAAAAAGGCCTGGTGTTGTGCGCACTGATGGCTATTTCACCAGTTGGAAAAAACAACCAAGCCAATTACAGCTGTGTAGGAGGGATTATAAATCACCGGGAAAGTAAGAGGTTCAGTAAACAAATGAAAATGTTCTTCACCCAATGACGCATACCTACGACCTCCAGTGATGTTGGTGGGTTTTCAGTGTAGTGAGTTATATGGTTATAATCATGGTAAGAGAGCACAAAAATCATCACCCACTGACAAGTAAATCAGATGTGATCTATGACTGTGATATGTGATGATACATAAGTTAAATAAGCTACTGTATAAATTTAATAGTTCAACATTCTCTTTCTTTCTGAGAAGAGTTTTTTATTCCATTTAGTCCTCATTAGTCCTTTTTACACAGAGATTGCGCTGTAGAGCTGCTACAAAGTCCCCTCCTTATGTCGTGTTTGCATTTTTACACAGAACCAAATGACGGTGGCATCATGTCGCTCCTGTGTGTGATTTTAGAAAGCATGCCGGCATCATGGAATCAAAAGAGGTGTGACTGGTCTCTTAATATAATTATGGGTGTGAAGGGCATGACATGTAACACAACAGTGTCGACATCAATTGTGACATAGAATATATGCATTGACCGCACTTTATGAATAATAACAATGGCATAACTTGGCAATAACAATCATTTACTATCTCTGTTATATGGCAACTGATCTTCTGCTTAGAGGGTAAGGACTTCCTGAACCTCACTGTTTTCCCAAATTGCAAATCATTTTCGGCTGCTGTTTGTCTTTTTTGAGCTAGCTGCTAACTACTATCAGCTACTTTATAAATCTCCCACAGTGGGTCGCACACATAACATGTCTTCAAAATGTCACAGACGTGCCACCCATGATCCCGCCCTGCCAGCTCCATTTACATAGACATTGATTTGGTGCTGTCACCACCTCCGTTCCCGGCTCATAACAGCTGCATAATGGTACGATATTCACACCTTGAAAAGGCAATGTAAAAGGGACTATTGAAACAATGAACAAAACAGGATCTCGTCTTGCACGAGATATATGCGCAGAGCAGTGAACGGTAAAACATCATCGACATGAGTCAATGTGGTGTCAATCAGTGGCACAATCACGTTATGACAATACAGCAGTTGTTGGGACGAAATATTACAATATTGTCTGGAGTAATCTCCTACATCCTACATATTTGTGAGTGCTAGTACTTTTTATGAACCTAAAAATATGAGATCATTGTCTTCTGGTGATTCCGAGGACCTCCAAAACAAAAGTTTCACTCTCAGTGGACAAAGAGAAATACTTTCAAAATAAATAAAGTCACACAACATCACTGTTTCTATGATTTCAACACAGATTTGTTGTTCACAGTGTAGCGCTGGGGAAAATAATAGGGTGAACTGATAGTGAGTTTACTGCATCCTTTCTAATGTGTCAGGGACACAGGACATTTACATCACTGAACCTCAAGAAGTCTTACAGCTACGAGACACTGTCAGACATGTATATTGGTCTTTTTCATTAATTATCTGCTGGATGTCCCGTTGGCACACAGTTTATGACTATAAAACAGCATTAATTGTTAGACAAGTGAGCTAAGGTTGGTCTAAAAATATTTCCTCTCCTGTTTGAATGTACAACAGTACTTGTTTTTATAAAACATAAATGAGCTAACTTTAGATGCTGACAGGTGACACCAACACTGGTGAACACAGAGAGACCAACTTTACCTGACTGTGGTCAAACAAGAACAGTTCAATGGGATCTGGTCCAGACAGGTCTACAGCAGCCGTCTGCTCTGTAGCTACAACAAGCTGGTCTTGTACCTGTCTGTGTGTCTGTCTACAACACTAACACACAGCCGTCTCCTGTCTGTCTGTCCAACTCCTGTCTGTCTGTCCTCGTCAACTTCCATTTCCACAACCTGTATCATTCCCTTCTAGTTTCCTTTTTTCGCCTCTTCTTCCTCTTTTATTTCTATCCTTTACTTCCTTCTCTCTTTCTATACTGTTACCTTTTTCTTTCCTTGCGGCCAACTCCTGCCCCTACCACCTCCTGTCCTCTGATTGGCTGCCCCGCACCACCCTTCACCCACCCCAGACCCCGACCTCAGCCTTGACTTTTCTGGTGATTCCTCAGTTCCCATCTACCCCCCTGAGCCCGTAACACCTCTGACCCAGGAAGAGATCCAGCGAATTCTCTGGCGCGAGGAAGAGGAGCACCGCGAGAAGGAGGAGCGCCTGAGGAAGAAGGATGAGGCGAGGAGGCAAAGGAGGAAGCAGAGGAAGGAGAAGGCAGAGAAACAAAGACAGATAGTGGAGGAGAGGAGGAGAGCGGAGGAGGAGGCACTAAGGTTGCAGGTGGAGAGAGAGACGGAGGAGTGGAGGAGGCATTTAGAGGAGGAGGAGAGGAAGAGGCAGGAGGAGAAGAGGAGACAGGAGGAGGAAGACAGAAGGCAGAAAGAGGCCGCAGAGAGAGAAGCAAGGGAGAGGGAAAGGAGGCTAGAGGAAGAAAGGTGGAGGCAGGAGGAGATGCTGAGGGAACAATTACTGGCTCTGGGGGAGGAGGAGGAAGAGGAGCCGCAGGAAGAGGTAGAGGACCTGCAGGAGAGGGTAAAGGAGCTGCAGGAGAAGGTAGAGGAGCTGCAGGAGGAGGTGGAGGAGGTGCAGGAGGAGGAGGAGGAGGAGGTGTGGCTGAGAGGAGATGTGTTTGAGATGCTCCCGAAAGAACCTGAAGAGCCTGAGGAACCAGACCTCTTCCCTGCTCCGATCCCAAGACCTCCTGCAGCCACAGAGTACGAGCTGAAGGAGGTGGAAGCGGAGGTGGAGGAGATGGAGGAGGCAGAAGAGGAAGAAGAAGAGGAAGAAGAAGGGGAGGAGAGAAAGGTGGTGATAGTGGAGAGCAGTAGAGGCCTCCCTCCAGGCTGCTCCATCTCTGATGTCACTCTGACATGTGACAATGCCAAACTCACCTACTTCCCTCCTCTGTCCATACCTGAGCTCAAGTCTCTCAGTCTGGAAGGTAAGTCAGCACCACGACAAGAGAAGGAAGTAGTGCCAGAGTACTCAACCCACTGCAACACGAAGAACAATCTGCACCCCCTTTAACACATATGTCACTAGTGTAAGGTTAAGCAATTTATCTAATCTGAAAGTGTTTGGGTTAAACTTTCAAAACATGTAACTACAGTTAAAAATAACAAAAACTCAAAGATTAGTTTAAGATTTTTTTTGTTATTCTGATTAGTTGCAGCCTATTTAATATTCAGCCTGCTCTCACTCCAATTCAAACCCATCCACATCATTAAGTCTGATTTGGGCAGGTGTGAGGTGGGTGGGTGGGTACAGGACTTTTACCCAGGACACCGCTATTTGTGTCTCGTGTGAAACTAAAAGTAAACATGTTATTTGGTCACATCAGTCGTTGTTCGTATGAATCGACTGACATGACTAATGTCAACCACTGTCTCTTCTAATTCTACGCAAAGGGTTTTGTTGCCCAAACCTAACTGCCGACCCCCTGCGTCAAGATACAATGCAAAAGACTGCCATTATAATGACGCCAGGTGCTTCTGCCCAAGCGTAAAAATATGAGTAGGGATGAGGCCCGTTGTAATTTTGCACACCTTTTTTCTTGAGCTACTTGCTTCAGATCCTGGAGCTCTTAGTTCAAAATCATTAAGTTGCTTAAAGGATAAGCCTGACATTATTCTATATTTTCCTCACCATAAACAAATTCCATGAAAATACCCAAACCAAATCATGTTTGTCTGCTGTTACTTTGTGTCTGTGGCACTGAACCTCAAAACCGTCGATTCCCTCTGATGTAAATCTTGAAAAACACCTCACAAATCAGTAATTTCCTAAAACAGTCACATTAATCCACATTTGGGGCTCTAGTGAGTATTTCCACCAGCAGGATGGTCTATGTGGGACTGAGTCAAAATAAGCTACAACTATGAACGTTGTCAGACTTGCAGCAAATTCAGGCATTTTATCAACCTGGAACTGAAATGAAATTAAAAATATACATACTGGAATCCAATCCTATACATTTAGCAACAAAATATTTAAATAAAAACATAGAAGCCAGAAATGCACTGCCATCACAGAAAACCTCTACATTCTCCTGCTCTCACTGTGAAGTGACAGAAACTCTTCTGACCTGCAGGCAACACCATCAGCAGCATCCCAGCAGAAGCCTTTAATGGCATCCCCAACCTGGAGTGGATCAACCTGAAGAAGAACAAACTCACCTCTGCTGGCATCGGTGCTAAAGCCTTCAAAGTAAGACACTTACAGTAACTAGCAACTCCTGTAGCCCTTCAGAATAAAACCCAACATTTTTCCAAACATTTGCCTGCCACTCTATTATAGTGTTTCTCTGGAGGCGACCAAAGTCAGGCATGTGTAACAGACATATTGAACATCTACAGTAATGCAATCAACCACAAGGGGAAAAATATGCAAACATTTCTGTGATATAATGGCGATATAATCCTCAAAGACCTCTCAGTGCCACATAAACAAACAAGACAAGAAATGGAACAACAAATGTGTTTTTCAACACTTTCAAGCTTGAACGTAAATTTAATGAAAAACTTAAACTGTATAATAAGATTGTTTTTAAATGAACATCAACTGAAAGATGTGAAAATATAAACAGGCAGGAGAGAAAGATGGACAGGTATTTCTGAAATAATGTGAGGCATGAATGGGGCCAGTCAGCTTCCCAGTATCACCAGTGCCTTTGTGTGTGTGTGTGTGTGTCAGGGTCTCAAGATGCTAAGGCGTCTCTACTTGGATGGGAACCTTCTAGAGACCGTGCCTGCGGACCTTCCCCCTACCCTGCAGGAGCTGAAGATCAATGAGAACAGACTGACAGAAATGGATAAAAACAGCTTCCAAGGTAACTGCCACAGTATCCCATAATGCACCTCCATACTGCCCTCAGCTTTAAGGTCACAACATATTCAGTGTAATTTATCTGTTTTTATCTTTAAGATCTGAGCAGCCTGGTGATTCTGGAGTTGGAGGGAAATCTGCTGAGTGAGGGGAATGTAAATCCTCTGGCCTTCGCTCCCCTCCACCAGCTCTCCTACCTTCGACTGGGCAGAAACCACTTCCGCACCATACCACAGGGCCTCCCCCCAGCACTGCTGGTATGGAGTAATACATATTCACATAACTACTGTGTAACTACAGCTCTTTACCTCTTCGTTTCCCACACTGGGATACCTCACACAGCCCGACTTCTGTCTAACTTCATAAAAGTCCAGTGCTCTCTACTAGGTTCATCAAATGGCAAAATGCTGCTTTGGTCAGATGGTGCCACCAATAAAGTGACCTCTGTGAAACTAGTAGTCATGGCCAGGGATGGTAAATAATAAGAATTTATTGATATCAATGCCATTATCGAGTCTGCTTATTGATCCAATACTTTATTTATTTCCCTATTGTTTCCTGATAAATTAGATGTGTGGAAAAGAGGAAGGTCTACACAGATTTTCAGCATCAATGGAGCCGTTTTGTTATCTTTGAATGTGAACATAGTGTAGTAACAGAGTAGAAAGGGTACACATTTGACTCAGGTCATCAATAAGATGACCCCCCAAAAATTGATTGCCACAAATGCTAAAGGAAGCCGATGTATCACAAATCTACAAGCTTGGCAAATCTCCTGAAAACTGTAAGTAACAGCTGAGCCATCTTGAAAAGAGATTTTTCATTATTTTAGCTGTAATTACCAAAATTTGATGTTTCAAGAGTCAGACTTATGCTTACTTATTTATCAAAAATGGGTAAAATGAGAGAAGAGTTGTGCTGCATTTATATTTTAATTTAGGTTTTGTTTTTTTTTGTTTTTTGTCAAAGAAAAATCTGCCAGGCCTGCCTGCATGGCATTAAAGTTATTATAACAGGATATTTGTCCTCAGTATCGGACATGTTGCTCAGTTGGGAAGCAGTGGCACTCGCGTGTAGAGAGTGAAAAACTTTGCATCTCTAGAATTTAAGCCCATGTTGTTTACTTGAAATTATTATTTTACTGGAATTATTACTGAATTTATCTTTGTCAAATGAAGCCACACTTTAGACCATTTCTTCCTCTACGCCATGACTCCTTGTTTCAAGTTACCAGCAGTGTAGATGCATGAGCTTGACATCACTGTTTTGCAGTGTGCAACTGAAACATGCAGGTATCAAGAGGAGGAATTGATAAGCTTGGAGAAAAACAATTTAGATGGATTGGACAATTTGGAACCTGTTTTCAACTTAAACTGGTTTACGATTCCCATCTCTAATCATGGCTCAATCCTCAGTGGTTTAATGAGTTCAAAGGACTCACTCAGTACGTTAACAAGACATTTGAGAAAATCGATTTATTGTGTTAGTCCGACTAAAACCGGACTTTTAAAATACATGTAAACATGTTAGTCCAACTGAAATCGTACTGAATCTCTAAGTCGGACTAACACACCCAGAAAATGCCATTGGGGGTTGAATTACTCCTGCATGCATACAGTCAATCAGACCCAAACTGGCCAAGGCACTCGAAAGCAATAAATGCATGATAGAGGAAGAAGCCAGTAACAACATGGCGAAACCTACATCCAGAGCCGTGCATTTTTGGATCAATGAAATGTATAGAGCTGTAAAGTTGTCCACCATGGTTCAAGTTTGCTGCTAGCTAACTGTAGCTAACTTGTTTGTCCATTGTTTGGTCTGTGATGCAATAGGTCAACCGGAAAAAGGTCCAATACTAACAAGCTGAAAGAGGTCATATCACCACCTACTGTAGTGGAGTTGGACATACTTCGGTCAATAAATTGAGTCCATTCCCATGCTAGTATACTGGGACAAGGACAGGAGACCAATTAAATGGCCTAGCTGAGCTATAACCATAGCTCGACTTAACTGTGCATCGAAACATACTGACTGTGAACCACCAAAAAACGTTAAAAACATAATAAATGTATCTAAACTCACCAGCAGCATAATGTTTTTAATTCAGTTTATCAGGCTGTCACATTATCAGAGGCCTTCTGAGCGGCCGGCTGCAGTCAGTCTGTCAGTCAGGAATTCAGGTATGCTGATGCATCAGTATTTTTTTTGGCTCTGATGTTTAAGACTCCTCTACTGAGTAAACTCTGCTTCTACCATTCCACTCAACCTGTAATTACAGTCTCTGGTTAACCACAAACACTGCAAAACACCACAACATGCTGCTGCTGTAAATCCACCTTAAAACCAACCTTGGACAGTTTCTTCACACTCTGTAAATCCTAAAACCTGTAACTTTTCTTAGATAAGAGTCCAGAGGATCGTAGTTAAGCTTTAACATTTGTTCTTTGCTAATAAGCTCTGGGATTTCAGGATTTACCAGACACTTTCACCGTTGTGTAGCCAAGAGTGATTATGATCATGATTTGAAGGGGATGAAAGCAGACACCCACAATGTGTCAGTATACTTCTGGTGTTCATGCCTTTGCACTGCCTGTTCATCTGATTAGGTTGCCAGTTTAAATAAGGACTGTAGGTAGAACAGACGTGAATTTAGTTTTGGGGTGGATTATACATTTATAACCCAAAACAGTCTCACCAAACCACAGACAGTCTGCCAAGATCTCTGACCCAAAAGCACTCACTTAACACAACAGTTTAATGACAAACACGTAACTCATTAAAAATCTACTACATCAAATAGTGTTGTGACTCTGACACTAAATTCCAGTGATTGTCCACGAGTTTCCACTGATCAAAACATTTTCCTTTCCAACCCTGATAATGTCAAACATTTGTTTTTTTCCTGTCATTTAGGAGCTGTACTTGGAGAACAACCTGATTGAGGAGATCTCAGAGACCGTTTTTAATCAGACCCACAGTCTCAACATAATTTCTCTGAGACACAACAGGCTGGATGAGACCAGGATCGCCCCGCTGGCCTGGATCAACCACAGGTCTGACAAAAATAGACTATCACCAATGATTCCCCAGGGTCACAGGAATTTAGTAGCTATGTATCTCAATCATCATTTTGTAATGAATACAGTTATTTTTCATTTCACTACCACACCATCATGTGCTGTTAAAGAGCACAGGAACATTTATCTTGGCACTATATTGAGAGAAGCACAACAAATGGTGTCTCATTTCCGTTCAGTGTTTCTTCAATCAGCTGTCGTCAAGCACAATCAGTCAACTGCTTATGTTCTCTTTTCCATTTCCCTAACAAATACATCCTCCCCTCATCTTTTTTCCTGCAGAAATCTGGAGTCCATCGACCTTTCACATAACGACCTTTACCTGGTTCCGTCATACCTACCCAGATCTTTGGTCCACCTGGTGCTGGTGGGAAACAAAATTGAGAGGATACCTGGTAGGTGTTGATTTAACTCCTGGCTGACAACTGTTGGACTGAAGACAACACTTTTCAGCCCTCCCCAAAATTAAGAATGCTATCTTACTGTATGTTCAACAGCATGAAAAGAACGATGAATTGATCATATAGGTGATAGATTTCAAAACTAAAAAAAATGTTACGAAACAAAGGCCATTTGTACATCAGCATCAGGCAGTAACTGCTAGACATATAAATACTTGTAGCCCTTTTCCACTGCAGGAACTTAATCAAATTTAACCTTAATTAAGTTTTCTTTTTGTCTGGTTCTGCGTTTGTTTCTACGGTTCTCCGTTCTCTGGAACTAAATTTGGGCACTGTTCAGGAAGTGGTTCTATACACAAGTTCAGTTACTTTCATTGGTTGGCTGCAGTACTGTTGATTGTCATTGGTTGAGCCGAAGAGGGACGATTAGAACAAACCCAAGAGTAACCACTGTTTTACTGCAACCGTACAGAGCAGGACAACTACTACTTAAAAAGGTGAATGTTAGAGAATGCTAGTTGGGCAACTTGCATCCAACTCCAACTGGTTAGCTAATTGGAGAGACAGCCATTTAGAGGGAGTTGGCGAGGAAGAGGAGGGAGGAAGGAGAACAAGAGGCACAAATGAGGAAATATGACATAGCCAAGTATTACAGGAAAAAACTGAATCAAGAAAAGATCAAGCAAGATCATGGGAACATAACAGATCCAATGGAGCAAACCAAAAAACAACAAAGTGGGTTGATGCAATGGACACTGGTCTGAGTAACTGACTGAATGTTAAATCTATTTTGGCCTTTCTCACATTAAGTAAATATGAAGTAAAATCAACAACAATATCAGTTCCAGTGCTGATGCCTGTCTCGTGATCGTACTTTGAAATTATATTCTGACATTTCATAGATTGAATAACGAATCAATAATCGAAATAATCATTAGTTGCAGCATTAATAGATACTTAGTTACTCTTCTCTTCCAACACATCCACAGGTTTTGTCTTTGCTCACATGGAGCCTGGTTTAGAGTACCTCTACCTCTCTTACAACAAACTGGATGGTGAAGCAATTGAACCGGAGTCGTTCTTCGGCACATACCAATCAATGGTGGAACTGTGTCTGGATCACAACCAGCTGGTCTCTGTCCCATCTGGCATCAACGAGATGACCAACTTACACTTTCTCAGACTCAACGATAACAAGATCAGGTATGAATCCATCATCCACAAATATCTACCTGATGAGTTTTTTTCCCCTTTGTGTTTAAAGTGACAACTTCCTGGGAATATGCCATTTTTTTTCTCCGGATTCTTGCCATAAACAAAGTTTAATTTTATGAATAATCAATCATACAATTACAATTGTTCAAACTTGTTTCATGTTACTGTTTCAAAAGCTTTCAATTATGTGGTAAAATTTCTAGTAGAACAATTATTCCTGATAAAAGCTGTTTTTAATCAGATCCTCTCACTGGTATCAGTTTAAATCCATGCGAGTTGTTATATTGGAGTGTATGTCTGTCTACCCTTGTACTAATCTCTATAAACAGAATCTGTGGGAAGCAGTACAAGATTTTGGTATCCAAAGTGTTCTGGTTTCTCTTTGTAGTATTGAACAAGTCTGAACATGTTTGAACAAGCTTTGGTCGCCTGCAGTTGACCAGTCTGTGAGGAGAGCAAAAGAGGCAGAACGCACCAGAAGAAATGCAATCTCGGAACCTATCAGCTACCATCTGACTATGATTTAGGTTTTTATTAGCTTTTATCAAATTTATCTGCATTCATGTGCAGATTACTGTTTATAGAAATTAGCCAAAATGATGTCTGGACCTGTTGTTAATCGAACTGTAGTAACACTGTTGAACAATAAGCATGGAAGAAGAAGTTTTGGCCTGGATATTCCCAAAATGTTGGCCCGTTGACCCAAAGGCTTTATCGTCATTGGACAATAGCCAGTGGGTCTGAGATTGCCTTAGTGCTGACCTTCAGTCATCCTGTGTGCAGTGTCAGACAAAGTCCACTTCATGCATGTTGTTTCTGTGTTTGAAGAACTGGAGAGCTGTTGTTTGATTTGTAACAGTGGAGCAATCATCTACATATGTTGAATGAAGGTGTGCTCTCCAATTCAGGATGGAGGCCACCAGATCTGATCAAGACAAGGTGTTACACTGCCTGCGTACTGTTCATCAACAGATTTTATGCTTCACTTCATTCACACTTAGTCTACACAATATTTTGCTTCTGAACTCAAGCTGAACATGACATGTAAATGGAAGAAACAGCTACAGCTGACAGAGGTGTTACAGCATTCCATACCACAACTTTGTACTTTGTACAACTTAGTTGAAGGTGTCTTTGTTTTAAAACACTTAACGTTTCTCAGTGTGTGATCACACAGCCAAACACATGTTAAATATTCAGAGATCCTGCAAGTACTTTTCCTTATTGGTGAGAATACCCAGGAAATACTAGGATTTCAGTTCCAAGTATTCTTCATCCATCCATTTTCCACCCTGCATATGCCGTTCAGGGTCATGGGGACTGGAGCCAATCCCAGCATACAGACAGTGTAGTCTCTGTTAAGGTCACCAGCAAATAACACAGCATCCATAACTCAAGGATCGGTCCAACTGTATCAGTGCCTCAATGCTTATTTTCATAGTGTTGTCCATCATTTCTATCAGTTATGATAATACTTAAGTCAACTAGTGTGCAAGGATAGAGGGTATAATATGTCTAGATTGGAAAGACCTTTGAGGAAGTTTTCTGATTTGTGATTTTGGGCTGTAAGTGTAACTGTCATCCTTAATCTCAATTATAAAATTGAAGAAAACATGCCTGATAGAAATAAACGATAAATCTATAGAAACATGAACCAAGCTGTAATAAACAGGTGTTATCAGTATTAGCGGTGTTAGTTATTTTATGTCTTGTTCATTTAAAGCATAATGGAAATAGAGCTTGTTTCTTACTCGGACACAAGTTGTAAAAAAAAAAAAAAAATACTATTATTTTAAGTACCAGAAGCTGTTGACAAATAACAATAACACCAAGTGAATGAAGATAGAGCGTGAGGAAACATATCTAAATGCAATACAATCCTTTAGGACCAACTATTAAGAGTTGCACAACAGACGAGGGCCTGACCAGACCACTGACTCATTCATCTCAGCCCGCCAGACAATATAAAAGCTGAGAGTTCACTGAACGGAGCGTCGCCTTGACAACAAGAAACAAAACAAGTCGATTCATGTTTCCACCTGAGAGTCACCCTGAATCACCTCATTACCTACTCACAGGTCCATGCATGGCACACACAGTTAGTCCAGGTTGTAGGATGGTTTTTATATAAAAGTAACATTTTAATGACCATAATAACATTTTAAACTGCATGTCATGCTCTGTCTTCACTGCCAAGATGGCTGACACTCCAGGTGGGAAATTGCAACCAGCCTCCAAATAAATACTTCAGATTATTTTAACATGTGTGGTACTGTAACAAACGATAACATTAACCTTTAATACAAATGTTTGTTTTCAGGGGTACACAAAATGTTGAATTAGAGCTGGGCAATATATCAATATTATATCAATACTGACATATGACACTAGATATCATCTTAGAGTGGATATCCTTATGTAGTAAATGTTGTCTTTTCCTGGTTTTAAAGGCTGCATTAAAGTAAAGTGATGTAATTTTCTGAATTTACCAGACTGTTTTATTATTTACCTTTGCCCTCTTTGTCATTATATCCACAATACTGAGGATTATTTAAAAAAAAATGTAATTATGTAATTATTTTGTGAAAGCACCAATAGTCAACCCTACAATATTCTCACAATATCAAAGAGGTATTTGATCAAAAATATTGTGATATTTAATTTTTTCAATTTTGCCCAGCCCTATGTTGGAAGTAGCATTCTGATTTCACAGTTAATTTCTTAACGCTAATGCAGCCTGGTAAAAAGAGAACTGTTGCAATCTAGGCAAATGATAGTAAAAGCACGTTATCTGCATGTTAGCATCAGTGTTACTCAAAAGTGGTCTCATTTTGTTGATCCTCCTAAGATGAAGAAAATACATTTTTGTGACCTTGATTAAAAAACAACAACAAAACCATGACCACATCTTTTTGACATTATGATGACTGATTATTTTATTTGGAGAGCATGTATAAAGAAAATAGAATAGGACCTAGGATAAATCCTTGAGGAACTCCAAATCCATATTAAAGGTATACTATGCAGGGTTGTTTAAGGTGACATGAAAAGCCAACCCCAAATTCACAGTTTGTAGGCGTTTCGCCTAGCTATATTTATAGTATAGTATGGTTATAGTTATATACATATATAGTATATAGTTTTTTGGCACTGAAGCGGTACAAGCCAATAAACACAGAAAATAAGAACATATAGGCAGAGGGCAGAGTCTCTGCTGAATAATACATTGATGAGTAAGAGGAATTACTTTAGTATGAGCCCAAACATTTTTTTTTTTTTTTTTTTAGGAAAACCCTGCATGGTATATCTTTTAGTGTCTGTGATAGAGAAGAGGCTAGACTTATAACAAATATCAAGTCAAGCTTAACACCCAAAAACACATCTGAATGATAAAATGAAAATTCTGACTAGGGCTGTCAACGAATATTCTAAATTTGAATTTAAATTCGAATTTGAAAAAAAAAATGGACCTTCGAATGTGAAAATTGATATTCGATTGTGGAGAAAAAAAAAACACCACTGCAGCTGTCCTCTTTGCGAGTGGGAGGTGGGAGCAGCCACGGAGCTGCGCGGCGCGGCGCAGCCGGTGTGGATGACACAATCGGTTAACATGGGCGCTGAAAGGAAACTGGCTTCGCTTCTCGGCACTTCGAGGCTATTTGCAGCGCTTCCGCGGGCGGTGTGGCCTGACGGGTCAGAGAGGGGGGGCAAGCGAGAGGTCCGCGGTCGTTTATAACGTAATGTTATAGATAATTGTTTTATGTGTTTTAATGTGTAGGTATGTAAATGTTTTCAAAGACGTTTATGGTGAAATAAAAATACTTACAAGTAGTTATGTTTCCTTGTATTAATACATACAGAAGTATATTTCCTTGTATTAGTTTGCCCTCTTGTGGACATAATGCGAAAAAAAAAATTTGAATGGTTCGAACCTATGAGTTATTTTTAGAACGAATATTCGAACGTCATTTTTGAGCAGTTTTGACAGCCCTAATTCTGACTGAATTTTAGAATTCATTAGCTACTGATGCAATCTTGGATAGAGCTGAACTGATTAACTATTATGATAATACAAATGATACAAAGCTCAGCGGTGCGCTTTGATGTCACCTGTTTGCAGATGGTGTGTGCCCATATGTGTGCTTTTATTAGTCTTATGTGATAGTAAACTGAATATACTGTATTTCCATTTTGGACTGTTGTCTGGACAAAAAATACAATCCAAAGACATCAGAGGGGCTTTAGAAAGTTGTTGAAAGTTTTCCAAGATTTTATAGACCTTATATTTAATCGATTATGAAAATCAATAGCTTTAGTTCTTGATATAACAGAAAATATATCCAACTGCATCCTATGCTGTGTCTTCCAGGAGTATCTCTGATGAAGGCATCTGTGACCCAAACTACAGTGGAGACTCTACTCTGGTGGCCGTGAGGCTGGAAAATAACTACATCGACCCCCAGAAGGTCTCACCAACAGCCTTCTCCTGTGTACGCTCCTCCTCCAGCGTGGTCATAAAACCCCAGAAAACCAAGTGACCACACAAAACCAAAGCTTCAAAGACGTTTGTTTAAATCCCCAGAAACACAAGGGCAATGATTTTTTAATGAGCCTAGAGAAGTCAAAACGTAAGACATATTTCCTTCACTAGCTTCCTCAGATGATGTATGTTATTGAAATGACACCCAAAATAATAAGAAATTAGTTATAAAAAAGGCTCTGATGTTCAGGTTGGACATGAAAAAAAGGAGAATTTAACTGTCAACACAGTTACTGCTGATGTAATTTGTACTGTCTCGACTAAGTTGTTTTGCACTGTCGCCTGGCCCACATTAACCTGGTAGGAAGATGACAGAGCACCTTCAGACTTCAAAATAAAACACATCTGTCTCCTTGAGTAAAATGTCAAACTCTCTAAAATGGAAAGAACTCCTGCACCATACACACTAAAACGAAAATGCTAATAAAGAAATGGAAAGAATTCAATGAAATGAGACCACAAACCCAACACATTATTTTTAACAACCTCACCACCTTCATGTTCCATTTCCCAGCTCTGTTTCTTCCAGTGCCTTCTTTCATAAAAACTATGACATGGACTGGAGTAGTGTGATCACATGTGTGACACATCCTTTGAGCTCTTTAAGTTACAGATTAAGAGCAGTGGTAAAGGATTAAGTTAAAGTGAGTGCTGTTGGAGAGCTTATCCTTCTCACAGATGAAGACAGAATATGTACTAAAATGATATGTCAGCCCATATCCTCCATCTTTTCCATTCTTTTATTTGCATTTAAGTGGACAGAAGCTGGATAGTAACTTCCTCTGGTGCAGTTAAGTCAGATTTATTCTTGAAGTGATGGGATTCTTTGAGATATGGTGTAGGTTTAGAGTTTTGTAGATTTAGAGTTAAGCGTCACATTTCACCCATTGATGGCCCCAGAACAACTGACACATGTATTGTACATAATCAGGATTCAGTGTACTTGATTTGTATTCCCAGCAGTTTCACTTGAAGGGGAACCCACTATTTTCAACCAGGACCCTATTTTTCCATGTTTTTGTGTCTAACTCGTGGGAACAACAACTTTGAAAACTGGTCCAGTACTGGGAGAGAGTGCTGCAGCCAGCAGTGGTGAAACAGGCGTCAATGTAACCACTTGGAGCAACTTATGTTGATTGAAAGAGCTTGTTCTTGCCAATAAAGCCCAGTTCAGACCAATGATTTGCAACGAGATGAAACCATTTAAACTGTGAACTGGCCAGTCTGAACTTGACTCATGCCGGCTGATGGTGAGACCTGCAACTCAGCTGGTCAAATCACCAGCAGCTGGTTTTAGGACATAAAAGCACGTCACCCATCTGTACAGCCAGTCGGTTTTTAGTGAAGTCCACTCATAAAGTCAAAATGACCGCAGATGCTTGCTGCGGTGGGTGCTCTGTCCCTGCCAAGCACTCTGTTTCGGTCCTCACGGTGTGCTAGTGTCGCACGGTGGGTCGCTGCTGCTGCTCGCTGTTTGTACTTACGCACATACACCCCCCCACACACCAACCCACCCACACGCATTCTTGTTTCCTGATTAATTGACGCTGGATATTTACATTATTGTGGCCTATGCTTGTTTTGTTTATTTTTCGCCATTTCCTCACTACAACAAATGCAGCTGTAGCCAGTATCTCACTATCACTATCCTCATTCATATTTTAAGAAGCTATAAATTATATTCAGCCACAAAATAAGCCTGAAAAGCTGGAAATCAGAAGGGAAGTACGGAGAGTTGTTGCACAGGGATGATAAGCCATCTTATCTAGTTGCATTGGTGTGAACCAACAGGTTTCTAGAAAGTTGCAGAACGGTGCATTGCAAGTAGCTGTCTGTTTGAACTGGTCTCAACTAGACTTAATAGACTAAGATTGTTATTGCAAGTCTGACAGCATCATAGACGGGCTACTATAAAGAAATCAAATGTTTTTTTCTTATTTTGCTTGTTTCGGATGTTTTGTGTCCTAGTCCTGCTAAAGGAGAAGTCTTGTTCTGAAATCGCTCTGACTTTTCCACATTGTCAAAATCAGCAAAGTATTCAGCCATGACATCAAAAATCTTTTAAATAATAGTAAGATACTCTTTTTGTACTCCAACACTAACTATTATCAGCACTCCTCCAACTCTTACTCATGTTTCCTCTGTTTTCGTCACACAACAAGTCACCTCTTGTGAGATTTCCGAACGAGACCTCTTGTTACCGATACTTAGACACAAGAGAACAGAACAGGTGAAAGGTATGGAAAAACATGTCCTTGCAAGGGTCTGTTCCGTAATGGTGTAAGACACCCATTATAATAATCTGAGCCTGCCAGTGGCAACAACAACTAACGCACAAAGCATACCTTTTGCTGCTGCCACCTGCAGCACTCTCTCTCAATACTGGACCAATTTAAAAAAAATGTTGATCATTTAAGTCCCTTAGACACATAAACATAGGGTCCTTAAAAACAGGAAAATTGGGGTCCAGGTTGAAAAATACAAGAGTTACCCTTTAAATTTGTGATAAATGGATATGGTGAAACACACACGTACTTAACACATAACTGGAGCTACATTCTGGTAAGTTCTATTTTGCTTTGCCTCATTACTGAATAGGAATCCATTCAGCACAGTTGTTTACATGTTTTCATTCACTGTTAACTGTGGACTGTAGCGAGCAGCAGGTTTGCTACAGACTTTCATGGTGATGAGTATTACTGTGTGGACTATGGAGTCTGAGGAAACACAATTAGTGGGACAACCCTCTAACAAATGCCTTTGAGATGTGGGAGGAACCACTGGCTCCAGAAGTATTTTCCCCAACAGTAAATTCCCATTTCAAAGTTTTCTTTTCATGTCCTCAGTGTTCCTCAACACACAAGCATTATTTAACCACTCTATAGGTCTTTGTTTATGCTTCAAGTATCAACTTGTGTACGTGTTGTATAATGTATGAATAATAACTCAACATCAGCACTGACAGTGAATAAAAGAAGGCTTCTGCAGGTTCGGAGAGTAATTCCTTTATGTGTGAGCAGGGAAGAGGTGGATTAAATCTTCTTGTACTTGCAGATTGTACCATTGCTTTAAAAAGCATTGACTTGAAGTACAGTGTTCCAAACAATTAGAAATTTTAGTTATTAAATGTTTGTTTGTAATGTACAAATACCAAAAATGTTTGAATAAAAAAAAACTGCCCGGTTTGCCCTTTACTTTGCTCTTGGCTGGCCAACATGCATAAATTATGACAAAATGTCTATTTGATGTGTCAAAATTCATCTTCTATAGTTTAACACAATGTTATGATGCAGAATTAAAATAAACTTCATGTTTCAATAACTGCCTGATTGATGAAGCCCCTCCTACAGTCACTAACTCATATGAATAAAACATACGGAGCTCACTGACGAGCCAAACTCCAGACGGCAAGCAACTGCTACAAACACGATGTTTATGTTCATTGGAGCGCTGCATGTTTACACCATGCTACGGATGCCAGCAGCGTGATGAGGCACTAAGCATCTTTTCTGCGCTGAGTGCTGCACATGTGGAGTTTTTTCTGGCCACAGAGAGTTAAAAAATATTCAACTTTAGGTTAAATGCTGCAGCCACTTGTCACTGTCATTTTTAACCCAGCTGTCCAATCACAGTGGAAGGGGGGTGGGACAAATACCACAAAGACAAACAACAACAATGGATGGGAAATTATTACTGAACCCGCACAGACTCCTTCCTCTCTCCCTTCGTGCGTCAGCCTTCCCTTCATCCAGAGCAGGTACTATACCTTGTGTGGAAATGTTTACTCCCGTGGATATTCTGTATCATAGCAACCAGACACAACCAAAGCATCTCAGCTGAAGAAACGCTGCGCCCCTTATAGCGCCTCATTGCCCTTCTGTGTTCTGTATTAAACAGTGAACAAGTGTTTAATTTGTTTAAAGCTGTGTCATCTCTGTTAGTCATAAAAACAACAATAAACCTAATAATAGCCTATCAATAAAGCCTATTTACAAAGCACTGAAATCACAATAAGTTATGCAATTTGCAAAAACAAAAAAACAAAACAAATAAAAAAAAGGCGGTAATATTGTGTATCGCACTGTTGAGCCGCCCTTAATTGCAGCAGAAGAAATTCCTTCACCACAACAGCCCTAAATAACAGCCAATTTTCCAGATGGACTCTTACCCCTATGACTCAATTTTTTTCAGCTGCCCAAGTCCGCACCACCCAAAAGTGTATGACAATAAACTGCTTGCATTCAGATGCATGCCAGCTTACACACGTGGGTCTTCCTGTTGTAGAGAGGTAGAAATTTTAAATGCTAGTATATGGTCCGTGTTCACAGACACACAATATGATACAGAGCTGCTGTGTCCATTTCAGAATTTACCAGTAGTACTTCAGCAGTCAAAAGTTGATTCAATCACTGCTGCCTCCACTGTTTTAAGTTACGGGACTGTTGATTGTGGGACCATTAGTGTTTATGTGCTTAATGAATCGTAGTTCCTCTGCGGTGAATTTTAACCTAAAAATGTAAGATTTAGTAACTCTCATAACTGGAATAGTCTGATGATCTGGGCACTGCTGTCAATGAGCACAACTCCAGACCTCTTAGAAAGGATTAAAAAGATCTGAGTGGTGATTCAGACGTCTGGAACGAGGCAACATAAGCCTCCTGTTTCCATCTGGAACACTGAAGAACACCTTAAGGTTTTTTTAAGGATTAGATGGATGTTGACACTAAATGCAAATGCTTAACCTGTGAGGTGTGTGAGTCACATTTTCAACCAAGAAGCTGGATTATTTTCCTCTGAATTTCTTGAGCCCCCTAACTGTCAGCACATCCAGCACATTCATTCACTCTCATGTTATCAAATTAACACCTCAGGCCACTGGGACAAGGTGGAGCCATGATGACTATTAAAGAATGAGTCATAATAAAATGCGGTTATCTTTGCATCACATGTCCTCTATCCTCATGCAATACACATTCAGAGAAAGCTGTAATTATCAGAGTTGAAAGCCAACTTTATCATAATATTTTCCCCTGAAAGCCTGAGGTTTAGGATCATTTACTGCAGTAGCAGACAGATCTAAAGGACGATTGGAACAGAAAAGCTACAATATGAAAAGGACAAAAACCTCAGTTCCCTCTTTGGTAAGACAAAGTGGAAATATAAGACAATTATATGCAGACAAAAATAAATCTGAAAGTAGAAAAGCAATAAAAACAACAATCAGTGATGTCTGGTCACTTTCTAGATGCTGCCAGTCGTCATCTCATCGTAACTCAGCTGGAAAACTTTTGTCCAATGAGCCAAAGCTCAAAGATCAAAAGTTTTCCTGTTGAAAAGAGAGAATTCTTCTCGTCTGCCAACGTGAACAGCTGCTGACTTCATTAGTCTCACAAATCAAACACATGAAGAAACAATCTAATAGTCATTAGTCACATTACCTCTTAAATGCTCCTCAGGATGTAGGCTTATGGCTTACAATCAGGTTTTATGTGCTCAGTAGACGTTTCATCAGGTACAAACAATTACTATAAAGTTGGACCTTCATTCAGCTCAATAACAGGAGGACAAGTTATTTCAAGATAAATCTGATATATTCTCACTTTGACTTTTGACTGATTAGAATGATGTGAAAGCAGAACAAAAGCTACACAAAGGTACTTTTATTATGTCAGTTGTTCATGGTAAAAGGTAAATGGACCTGCACTTGTATAGCGCCTTTCTAGTCTTCCGACCACTCAAAGCGCTTTTTACGCTGTGAGTCACATTCACCCATTCACACACACACATTCATACACTGGTCGCCGAGGCTACCATACAAGGTGCCACCTGCTACTCAGTTTCTTTACCACACTCACACACTGATGGAATAGCCATCAGGAGCAATCTGGAGTTCAGTATCTCGCTCATAAATACTTCGAAATGTGGACTGGAGGAGCCGGGGAGCAAACCGCTGATCTTCTTCTTCTTCTTTTTTTTTTTTCTTAAAGATATTTTTTGGGTCTTTTTTGCCTTTAATGTATAGGACAGACAAGCGTGAAGGGGGGGGGGGGGAGAGAGAGAGGGAGTGCAGCAAAGGGCCACAGGCTGGAGTCGAATCCGGGCCGCTGCGGCAACAGCCTTGTACATGGGGCGCCTGCTCTACCACTAAGCCACCGGCGCCCCAAACCGCTGATTTTCTGATGAGTGGACGACCCACTTTACCTCCCCATCTGATCTTTAATTTTTTCCCTCATATTAATAACTGGATAATGCTATTTTTGCAGCCCACTAAAAGTTATTTAAATAAAACTGTTAAAAAGGGCTTCGTTATTGGACATGGGTATTATCTAATAAGCATCCACTGACAATGAGTCACAGGTTAGCATTACCCACATTATTTTAAGAGGCAAAGGTTGGGATCCACTGATTTAAACCACTTTATTTAGCTAACCTTAGCTTACCTAAAATGTTTTGTTAAAAAGAACCACTAAGCTAACTTTATTTATTCAAACTGCTACTAACCAACTAATTTAATAGATCCTAGTGTGTGCAAGTTTTTGTATTTTTTTTTTAAACACTTATAGGTCTGTCATTTAAAATTAATTTTTGAGTAAGTTGACTGAAAAAGCTGCAATATTTAAACCTACATAAACAAATTCATAAAAATGTATTACTCATATATTTTTTAATTATTTAATATTATTGTATGTTCAGCTTTGCAGTAACTGAAAGACCTTCTTGATTGTGAAGGGAGTTAACTGAAATTTATCTATCTGGAGTGTACAAATTAAACACTGTACTTCCCCTTTATTTAATATCAAATTACATAAATCGATAATACAGCTATTACCAGAGGTTCAGGGTACCCACAGAGACTGACACTGCTTGGGTCAAGAAGACTGTTTATAGCAAGTCTTTTTTAGCTTCCACTGCAGCCCAGTCACCAGAAGAAAATGTTGGCTTTGTATGATTTTGCAAACCACAGATACATTACATGTTTCATATGTGTCATATCAAGATCTCTACAGTGACATAGTTTTGACTACGTGAACATGAGATTGGTTTGTAAGTGGGAGGTGCAGGGGATTCTGGATGGCTTAAGATCAAGGCAAGATGGCTGGCAAGCTGAAGAATATTGCACACCACTGCTTAGGGACCAACAGACAACAAAGGCGGGTCTATTTCTGCAAGACATCAGTGGCATTTCCAGCCGTGATTGTGGCACTAAAGCCCAGTATGTCAAGCCAAAACATGATCTTTTTTCTAACCATAACTGAGTTTTTTTGTGCCTAAACCTAACCACATGTTAACCACAGCAAAATTTCAAAATATGCCCTACATAAAAACATATCAATGTTACATATCCGTGGTTCACAGAAACATACAATGCTAACATTTATTCTAGTGATTGGGTTGTCCACTGAGTCCTTTTGCATTTAATAAAATCTTAATGGACAGATTGTGGGACGACTTTAGTTTGACAGTTACTGTGTGACTGTTTAACCTTCATTCTTAGAGCAATTTAGGTCAGACTGCCATTACATAAAATGCCAGATGAGGCACTCAACTCTGCAGGAAACCACTGATTGATCAAAACACAGGATTATGGAACTTCACCAAGAAGGTTAAATATAAGAATGGACACAGGTTTGGCTCAAAGTCAAAATGGGATACAATCCTCTTTATATACTTGTATGACGTTATTATTCTATCAATATTACGAGCCCACTTCAGGACTTCATTATGGGTGCTCACAGTTACTTGTGGGTGGCCAAGCTCTCGAGCATAAACGTAATCAGAGCTTATGCCGAATACTGATAAACACCATCAGGTGGACTCATGGTGAGGTGACGTCATGATGAAATCAAGGTGAGGGATGGTGAACACTGGTCCCTTGTGCAGCCGTGCTGGGTAACATTCCAGGCAGCAGGTAACATGCTGAGTCGTGACCCTGTCACAGCTCTAATAAAATGTTTCCTGGCAACAAGATGTTCCTGTGGCACCAAAGTGAGAGCAGCACTGAGGCAACTCCTTGGCACTGTCATGCTGCAAGTTGCCCCGGTGACTCACGGCATTTGAAGGCTCAGATGGAGGAAATTCTTTTCAACACACTAACACAACAAGCTCCAGTCGGTCCAGAGCCGTCACAGACATATGATGGGTTGGAAAGTATGAGATTCTGAGGGGGAAGAGACATCCTGACCGCCTCCCATCAGGAACGCAGACCATCTCCCATCAGGAAATAATCTCTAACATTTAATTTGTAGTTTCAATACTGCAATTCCAACAATTACGCCATACATTTTTTCACTACCACAAACCAATTTCCCTCTTTGGACTAT